TGCGGGTTTTACCCATATACCCGCCTCATACCCGGTCAAAACGGAGATTCTCCGAGTTGACTGGATCGAGGGCGGTCGGATACCCTCGACCATGAGTTTGATTGTCATCCCTAGTGTCGTTGTAGGTAAGGAGGGTTCTCTCTCCGTCATACAAAACAAAAACAAAAAAATTTACCGAGATGACACAGCCCATTGACCATTGTCGTGTACTGTTTGTATCCTCTTGCTGAATAAGTGGTTAAAAAAAATAAAATAAAATAAACGTTGCTTTTCCGGCAACCAACCCGAGATCCAGATCCGAATAAAACGATATATATTTGCAGTACTAATTAAGTACTGATAATGAAGTAATTAAGAAAGAAATTAGAGAACTGTTCAAAGGCTTAAACATATAAATTAAGATTAAGGGAACCCCACACCAATCGTCAACGACTGTTTCCTGTTCCTCCGCGTGATCTACAGTTATGCTTAGCGTGCTGCAGCTGCATAATTATATACTGTTATCAAAACCAGAAAAACCCCATAAAAAACAAAACTGCGACAGATCCGAAGAAAATCAGACATAACCACGCCGGATCCACAACACAAGCTGACGGATCGATACTGTGTATCAAGTTCATCATCATCTTCCATTTGGTGGTGGACCTGCTTGCTGGCTGCTGCACAAACTGATAAACTTTTAATGAATGGTTGCTGCTGCAGATATTATTATATGCCTACCTACCACTACGGACAACAATTCTAACCCGAATTTACGGGTACCCAACTCAATCCAAACTCAGTCAAATCGAGTGAAACTTATTGTACGTCGACAGATTTTGGATCGGTCCAACTCGCTTTCCACTCGATATGCACTCATAAAGCAGAACGGTGTCGTTTTGTATCTTATGAAACAATACGAATCATTTATGAGTGTAATATTCGTGAATCTATGAGTGTTCGAAAAAATAATAGATGATAATATTCGTGAATCTATGGATACTCGATGGATTATATATTTTTCACTTTAAACCCCAATAAGTATTGTAACGAATTTTTTTTTTAATTAATGGACCCGGTGAGTTGAGTTTGAGATTAGAGAAACCCGACCAACCCATCCCTACCTACCACAAATTGATCATGATCGACCAGTGGTCTCTTTCAAGTGTAAAGACTGATTATTCTATTCCATCTGGACTCTTGTGGCCCTAACCACAAGATTGAAACTACTCTTCCAAAGTTTTGATAACTAACCACTTTTATAACAATCAGTGCTCTCCATGAATGTTTGCTGCAAATTAATTTAATTTTAGTACTATAAAAAAATGAAACAAAATCTAAAGAAATGCATTTCAGGAAATATAGTGAATAACGATTATTTTTATTGAATAAAAGCTGTTTTCTGGGAATTATTATTCAGTAGATTAAAGTCGTTATTTGAATCATAGATTCATTATTTTTATTCAGGCTTGTTATGTCCTACCTTTAGCAATAGCAGCCTTTTGCATATAATTTAAAATAAAAAATTAAAACAAAATATTCAAAATTGATCTTGTTGAATTTATATTAACTAATATTATTTTATAATCTATTTCGTTTATAATGGAAAAACTATATTTTTTTTGTTTTAAATAAATAATAGAGATAATCTTATATTTTTTAAAACAGGTTTTTCACCGAAGTTCCTACGTACTTTTATGTAATTTACACTTTTAATATTTTCTAAAGGTGTGTATAGAGGTGTTGGTCCGAATTTAGTTTTTGAAGTATAAAAATATTTTAAAAAATCGGGTCAAATATAGGTTGAAGAAATTAAATTTATGAGTTTTCGGAATCTGAATATCTTTATTTGCATAACCTGTTTCTAAAACACTGGACAGTGGACAATATAAAAATTGAAACGGAAAAAGCCAAGAGAAAAACAAAGAAATAAAGCTTTATGGCCATGCAGACTGCAGAGGCTAGAGCCAATGAGGCTCTGGCACACAGCCAAATTATGCATTTAGCCATCGTACTTGTGACCTTTTCTCTTTTTTATCCAATACTTTTTTTGCCTCTTTCTTCTTTTGTTGGGAAAAAAGTTTGGCCTTTTTTCTGAAATAAAGTCAATATGCTATAGCTTAAAATTATTATTATTATTTAATATGCTCCCTGCAATATTTTTACAAGGAACCCTCCCAAATTCTTTGTTCAAAACTAGGTTTTCGCTTGATGACTATCATTACCAACAGGTTCATCGGAAGCGCTATCAACAAAAACTATTTTTTTAATCATCTTTGTTCGTGATTTTTGCAACAATAGGCTAACTTCTACGAGCCCGAGCTGGTGGATAGATTGATTTTGATCTCAAAATTGATGGTGGATGAAGGAAGGCGGTGAGACGAGGACGATATGGAGCCAAAGTAAGACCTATGTACTATCCCATCCTTCTTGCCAGGGAGACAGGACCATCTTTAACCACGAGTGATTAAAATGATAAATTAGCATGCATATAAGTATAGTTTAATTCATGTTAAATGAACCAAAGAAACAAAGTGAGCGTTTTAAATTTAAAAATTGTATGATTGGACTAAAATGCGTGTTGGAAATAGATAAACGAATATTCAAAAACCAGCAAGTTAACTTTAAAAACTAGGCTGTAAATGATCTGATACTTATTTGGACCCAAATTCACAAATGTGAGCTTGTTTTCCACATTTGTGAATTTGAAGACACATCTGGCCTCATTATTAATGGATGAAAGTGACTCAACAGTTACATTTTTTTTTTATGGGAACCATATATGTTAAGAGTATTTTTTTTTTGGTGCGTATGTTAAGAGTACTTTGACCTACAATACTATAAATTATCAAAATTAACTAACAAATGTTGGATTAGGTAGGTGCGCACTCAAGAAGTGGTCCATTTGGGGATGAAGCTTATCAGGGGCCGCCGGCGACCAGGTTGTTGAAGAGTAGGATGGCCAAAAAATAACCAAGTGGATAACGTCAATGATGAATATTTTGGCTTCCTTTCCTTATCGTTGAAATTTTCTTGGTCGGAGTAAAAACTATACACATCATATACTGATCGACCCAATAATCCGCGGGAGAAAATAAATTAATTTTGCGATTGCCCATAAAAATTCTATCGTACTAAAGGTAAACTTGAGGTATCGTATATTCCGAGTAAGAAATTGTTGAGTGTATTTAGAGGAAGCCCAAATAGGTGGAGCTCATGTGCCCCTATGATGGGAGTGAGGTCCATTGAGAGTGTGAAAGCCTATTCTCTGAAAACGCATAAAAGGCAAAACAAGCGTCTGTTCAAAAGAGTACGTAAAGTGGCAAATTGATGTCATGCACTTGAATTTTCTGATAAAGCTGACCGATTGGTCGAGGCGCATGCCCGTTGGGGAAGACAGTGCATTAATTGCTCTGATAACCTTGTCAGAACTACTCCAGGTACGAGGAAGGTAAAAGCATTTACTCAGTTCGACACGCTCTCACTAAAACCACAATAACTACTTATCTCTCTCGAAACACTCCTCACTTGATCGTCGAATGACTAACGAACCAAAAAGGTCCTGTGCGCTGGTGTGCAGGAGGAAGAAAATAAACGTACGTCTGTCGATCAAGGGTCCGAAGTCAGGCGTCCAGACTACAGGACATCCCAGGGTTGTTGGCATCAACAAAAATGCTATGTAGGCTTTAATTGAACTGAACTTTTGAACGTGGTACTGTACCTTGATCCTTAATAATAGAAATTCTAGGTTCTTAATTTTCAAATTTTTATACAAAACAATAACCAATGATTATGATCAATATAATTACAGACATACATACGATACATGTCTTGCTAAGTTGACTAACGTTTGATAGTAAGTAATTTTATTCTAGTTTATTGTGTCTTTGGATCGGTTGCCCTGCCAATTGTTAGGTAATGTTGGAACTTGGAGGAAATGCCAAATCAATAGCATAATATTGGAACTTGGAGTGAATGCTAAATCATTAGGATATAATTAATGTTGGACGAAAGCACCATTTTATTACTTTAATATGTTATGATGATTTCGTTACCGGGCAAAGTTTAGGTGACCATTTTGATAATTATCCACATAAATTAACTAACAATGAATAGCTTGTATAATGAAGTGGTAAACATTTATCAATATTTTTTAACCACTCGAGTTATTGAAAACAAGCAAGTTATGATTAAGAATGACAAAAATAATCTACAATTTGGATATTTTCCAAACTCAATTGATTATGTACCAAGTCAAGTTTGGTAATATTACTCTTGAGCCATACCCATATCCAATCATTTAGTTTGAGTCTAAATTAGACCTCTACCAATATTCTTATATGGAAATGTAGTGTCATTAACCCTTTTTTAAATCCTTCCTTACATAAAGATAATCCAAAATTCAAAGACAAATAATGCAAGGAAGTGGTAACATCCACACGCATGAACCTCTCTCAACAACTCGAGTTATCGAAACCAAAACAGTTTATGACATGACACGAGAACTGGTTCGACCATGAGATCATCTATTCAAGACTTCAAGTTTTCAGAGCCGCAATATGAATAGCTGATTTAAACATATGGTTTGCTCATGCATAACTGTGCAAATTTCAAACTTATGAGTTTGTTTTTTCATTTAAAGAAACGTATAAAGAACTGATCAATTCATACATTGATATCTGCCAACAACTCAGAAATCCTCATAACAAAAATAGTTATAACTAATAACAATAACGACGTGCAAGAAAGGGCAGAAAGGATGATGCAATGCTTATATCTAGTATCTACACATTACACACTATTGCTACCAACCCCAAATTGCCAAAAACCAAAAGGAAAAAAATTTCTCACCAACCCCCATCTGCTCAACCTTAACCAGAACCATGGCAGCCACCACTACTCTTCCTCTCTGGTAGGCCCTACCCCACAATCTCATGTTCCCTGCCACGTGTCCACCATATCCACCCTCCTTCCCCACAACTGATGATCCAACGGCTCCCATGGCTTCTCAACAAACCCATCTGCCTAACCCAACCAACACACTAGCACACCCAACCAGACACTCAGATCTCCATCGTCCTTCCTTCCTCCCTCCTTTCCCCACCAACCCAACTCGCCTCTCTATTTAACAGTCCCAATTTTAGTTGAACAGACTCAGGAATATTTCTGGGTAACCTGAAAGTTCCTTCCTTTTCTTCTCTAATCCCCTCATTAGTCATTACATTCAACAACATCTTTTCCCCCGTTCAGTTTCTTCTTGCCCCTGCTCCAATCCCAATTTTTTTTACAAAAAGAATGGAGCTTTGCAACGAGAAGAACGGCCCAGTGGTTGTTGGGGCCGATCCATTGAACTGGGGAATGGCTGCCGACTCGCTGAAAGGCAGCCACGTGGACGAGGTGAAGCGCATGGTTGCAGAGTCCAGATCCCCTGTTGTCCAGCTTGGCGGCCAGACCCTCACCGTTGCCCAAGTCGTCGCCATTGCCTCCGGCGCCGGCGCCACCGCCGTGGAGCTGTCGGAGGAGGCCCGGCCGAGGGTGAAGGCCAGCAGCGATTGGGTCATGGAGAGTATGGAAAAGGGGACGGACAGTTATGGTGTCACCACTGGGTTTGGAGCTACTTCGCATCGGAGGACCAAACAGGGCGGCGCACTTCAGAGGGAGCTCATTAGGTAAACTTCAATTCTCCTTTTCTCTGAACCATGTAGTTTAATTTCAATTTCAATTTCAATTTCTTCAATGGGCTTGATTCGGGTGAATTGGGGAGGAATTTGATTGATTAGTTGAGTAGTTAGAACCTGTTTTTCCCCCATTAGGTGAAGGGTCGGTTTAATTTGAGTACGATGGTTACTGATTTTAGTTCATCTAACTTGAACCAATACTGCATGTTTACCGACGTAGACTTAGGAGTCTAATTATGATTTGATGTTGAAGATTTAAAGTTTGTTGTGACAAGAGGTTGACCTCTCTACAGTAAAGATCCGTGTTTGCAAATTGCTTTTCCAGCTTTATCTTATTATAGTAAAGATTCGTGGAAGTTGGTAGGTTGGTGCCATCATTTTCTGCAGAAATTTAGGTATACATATGTTTTACATAAAGGGGTTTGGTGGAGAACATGGCGTAGAGCAGGCCAGGTCGTTCCAAATGATTTAAGTCTATTAGTCAACTTTGGCTGGACCTGTTAGCAATTTTTAATACAATACTAACCGTTGAATTCTAACTGGCGGTAATAAAATGGAAACCCACTGGTCGGTTTTAACATTCAGCTTGCAAGATGATGTTGGGTTTTGCTGCTTGTGTTGAGAAGTAATCATGGTTTGTGTAACGATGCACCAGGTTCTTGAATGCTGGGATCTTCGGCAATGGCACGGAGTCTGCCCACACGCTGCCTTACACCGCAACCAGGGCAGCCATGTTGGTCAGGATCAACACTTTGCTCCAGGGCTACTCGGGGATCAGGTTCGAGATCTTGGAAGCAATTTCCAAGCTGCTCAACCACAATGTCACCCCGTGTTTGCCCCTCAGAGGCACCATTACCGCCTCCGGTGACCTGGTGCCTTTGTCGTATATCGCAGGGCTGTTGACTGGCCGCCCTAATTCCAAGGCGGTGGGGCCCAAGGGCGAGTCCCTTGACGCTGCTGGAGCGTTCAAGGTTGCTGGGATCTCTGGTGGGTTCTTTGAGTTGCAGCCCAAGGAAGGTCTAGCTATGGTGAATGGGACAGCAGTCGGTTCTGGACTTGCCTCCATGGTGCTTTTTGATGCCAACGTTCAGGCTGTTCTTGCTGAAGTTCTGTCGGCGGTGTTTGCCGAAGTTATGCAAGGGAAGCCAGAGTTTACAGATCACTTGACACACAAGTTAAAGCATCACCCGGGCCAGATTGAAGCTGCAGCAATCATGGAACATATATTGGATGGGAGTGATTACGTTAAAGCTGCTAAGGAGTTGCATGAGATTGATCCGTTGCAGAAGCCCAAGCAAGATAGGTATGCTTTGAGAACTTCACCTCAATGGCTTGGCCCACTGATTGAAGTGATTAGGTCGTCAACCAAAATGATCGAGAGGGAAATCAACTCTGTGAATGACAACCCGCTGATCGATGTCTCGAGGGGGAAGGCAATCCACGGAGGTAACTTCCAGGGCACCCCCATTGGTGTCTCGATGGACAACACTCGTCTAGCCGTTGCTTCTATTGGTAAGCTCATGTTTGCTCAATTCTCCGAGCTTGTCAATGACTTCTACAACAATGGGCTGCCTTCGAACCTCACCGGTGGCCGAAACCCTAGCTTGGACTATGGTTTCAAAGGTGCTGAGATCGCCATGGCATCCTACTGCTCGGAGCTCCAGTTCCTTGCTAATCCGGTCACAAACCATGTCCAGAGTGCGGAACAACATAACCAAGATGTGAACTCGCTGGGGTTGATATCAGCAAGGAAGACAGCTGAAGCAGTTGAGATATTGAAGCTCATGTCCACCACTTACTTGGTTGCTCTTTGTCAAGCCATTGACTTGAGGCACATCGAGGAGAACCTGAAGCACACAGTGAAGAACACGGTGAGCCAAGTTGCCAAGAGAGTGCTAACCACTGGGGTGAATGGAGAGCTCCACCCGTCCAGATTCTGTGAGAAGGACCTGCTCAAAGTCGCAGACAGAGAGTATGTGTTCGCCTATGCTGACGATCCTTGCAGTGCAAACTACCCATTGCTGCAGAAACTGAGGCAGGTGCTAGTCGATCATGCATTGTTGAATGGGGAGATGGAGAAAGACTCCAACACTTCGATCTTCCACAAGATTGGACAGTTCGAGGAGGAGCTGAAGGCCATCCTGCCTAAAGAAGTGGAGAATGCAAGGGCCGAGCTGGAGAATGGGAACCCCGCGATCGCAAACAGAATAAAGGAGTGCAGATCGTACCCATTGTACAAGTTTGTGAGGGAAGAAATGGGTACCAGTCTGCTTACCGGCGAGAAGGTCCAATCCCCAGGTGAGGTCTTCGACAAGGTCTTCTCAGCAATGTGTGAAGGGAAGCTGATTGACCCTATGCTGGAGTGCCTTGAGGAGTGGAATGGCGCTCCTCTCCCTATCAGCTAGGTAGGCTATATGAATGAATATCAAGTATACATAACTGTGCCAAGACGACTGGCATCTTCTTCTTCTTCTTCAAGTGGTTATTTTTTTTCCTGCATACATCATCAGATCTCATGTAAAAGTGAACTGTCATTTTCCTTCTCTTCTTTTTAGCCCATTAATGTGTATGTTGTATCTTGTCTGATTTATCGAGAATCCTTTTCTTGTCTACTGGTTTCAACCCAAATGGATGGAAAACCAATCCAGACAGAAAATGAAAGGAGTCTTACCTGAATATGGGTGTTTTCAAAGTAGACAGACTTACTATAAAGCAGTTTTACTTTATGGTCCATAACCTGCCAGTGCCAGGCTGCCATCTAGATCACCAAGAACAGCTACACAACTAAAGATAAAAACCTCTCTATCAGCAACAGCTACACATGCATAAGTGCAACCAATCGAGCTTCCGCTTAAGGGTTTGCTAGCAGTGACCAAGATCTCAATTAGTTGTAGATTATCATCTAAGTTCTAGATTCCTCTGCCATCGCACAACATCCAAAAACCTTGCCAATCACAAAAAATGCATCATGGTTTATACCCTTGACAAAGTTCAGCACACTTATAAGCAGGTAACCTTTGAGTTCTTTATGGTATGAACTAGAAGGACTGATCCTTCGTTATAACGAGGAATTTTACAATGCTATATAGCATTGGTGCTATAGGTTTTTACCTTTATGGTACAACTTGAAATTGTACATTTAATGTTATGGTACAACTTCAGATTGTACCTATACTTTTTGTACAAATTCTTTTATAGTACAACTTAAACTTGTACTTTATGTGATGGTACAACTTCTAGTTGTAAAGTTGTACAATAACATAATGATACAAATTCTTTTATGGTACAACCTAAACTTGTACATTTAATGTTATGGTACAACTTCAAGTTGTACATTAAAACACCAATACTATATAGCATAGTAGAAGTGCTCATAACGAATAACATATAATTTGTTGTTATGGAAATTTAAACATAATTATATCACATTCGTTCGAGCTGCTATCGCTCCTGACAGCCGGATCCGAAGTATCCGCTCTATTGGGGAGAATGCCTTCCGCTGTGGGTTATCAACCCACCCTTAGTACCGAAATGGGTACTTTACAAGAAAGAATTACTTCTACCAAAGAGGGGTCGATAACTTCCATTCAAGCGGTTTATGTACCTGCAGACGATTTGACTGACCCTGCTCCTGCCACGACATTTGCACATTTAGACGCTACTACTGTACTATCAAGAGGATTAGCCGCTAAAGGGATAAACGTGTTTTGAGATTTTAGTGTTATCCGTTCAAAATAGCAAGAATGCATGTTATCATTCGTAAAAAAAAAAAAATGGAGAGACATACCCTCATCGTCTAAAAACTAAAATTGATCGAACATGTTATTTTTACATTTTATCACAAATTTCTAGATTATTTATATTGTTAGTGTTAGGAGGTTCAATTTTGCTGTCGCATCTTTTTTTTCCTGAAAGGAAACCTTGTTCTATTATTGCATAAAACTCGGACAGATTGGGCTTTCTCAGCCTCAAACAGACTCCTAATGGAGTTTGGAGGACAATCAGTCCAAATACAAACTTGATCCCAAAGGGTATTCAAATGGGTTAAACAATGGGCCACAACATTTGATTTTCTAGGCATAAAGGCCCACTCAGTCTTCTTACCCGACATGGTCGAATTGGTAATCGCCAGCTCTCTTATCTCTTTGCACCACACCTCCAACTCGGTACGATCCTCATCATCCTCCTTCTCCAGTAGTTGAACCAATCTCAGACAGTCGGTTTCCACAATCAGAGGACTCCATCCCCTCCGGTTTACTTCTCGTAAGCCAGCTAGAATAGCCCTTGCCTCAGCTTCCACTGGTCTGCAATTGCCAGTCTCCTTCCCAACTACAGCTCCGAGAAAATCCCCATTCCGATTTCTAAACACACACCCAATCCCAATGCCAGTCGGCTTCAGAACCCCTGCGTCGATGTTCATCTTGAAAACTCCGGCCGGTGGTGGTTTCCATCCCTGTGTGCTAGCCGGTTGTCTCGTATTCGTGGCCATGGTTCTCTGAGCATGCAGGTAATCCGAAATCCAATCAAGTTTTTTATTATTGAACATATGGTTGCATCTTTCTTTCCAGATGAACCAAAGGATTGCACAGAACCTTTGGAGGCTTTCATCTGATTAAGTTTCGAAGGTTTTAAGGAACCCGTCTATGCCAGACAAGCCTTCCCCCTGTTTGAATGTCTCACTTTCGCTGCATGGTTGCCAAAGACGGCGGGTCCAATCGCAATCTCTCAGGCAATGGAGTTGTGTTTCAGGGAGTCCACAGAACGGGCAATCAGATGGGGCCTCTTCGATTCTGCTTTCCTGTATGCTGACTTCACATTATAGATCCCATTTTCCGCTTCAGACCATAGAACAATATCTTCTGTAGGTGGATTTCTCAAGAGAATCTTCATAATTTCTGTCTGATCAGTAGTAGAGAAGAGGGTTCTAAGCTTAGGTAGATCCCACCATCCATTGTCTCTGTCAATGAGCGAGCTAACCTTGAGGTTTTCCCTGTGATCACTGTCTTGTTGAAGTGGTAAAAGCTTCCTGGTATTTGGAACCCACCAGTCCTCCCATACGTTGATACTATTTCCATCCCCCACTCTCCATCGAAAGCCATCCACAATTTCATCCTTTGCTTTGACCAGGCTCCTCCAAATATAACTGGGATTACTCCCTGTCTTAGCATTCAGAATGTCATTTCTAGGAAAGTAGCGGCTTTGAGAATCCTGGCGATCAGAGAATTAGGCCGATTTAAAATATTCCAAATCTGCTTCCCAAGCATAGCAGTATTAACAGTTCTCAGGTCTTTAAAACCAAGACCACCAGAATCCTTCGGTTGACACAACTCTTCCCACCTGATCCAGTGAATCTTCTTCTCATCATATTTTTGCCCCCACCAGAACCTCACTATAAGGCTTTGAATTTCATGAAGAATTCCTTCCGGAATTTTGAAAACCATCATAGGATAGATAAGTTATGCTTGAGCAACAACTTTAATCAAAATTTCTTTACCTGCAGCAGATAGAGTTAAGCTCTTCCAGTCTTTAAGCTTCTTTCTCACCCGTTATTTGAAGTCATCAAATACCTCCCTCTTAGATCTTCCAATGACAGTAGGCAGTCCGAGATATTTCAGGTGTTTCTCAACAACTTTAATCCCCAGTGTACCACTGACTTCCAATCTTCTGCTCCATTTCACATTCTTGCTAAAAGACACTTCAGATTTAGACAAATTGATACATTGCTCTGACTCCTGCTCATAGATTTTAAGGATCCTCTTCAGTTCATCACTTTCCTCAATAGTAGCTCTGCCAAACACTAGGCTGTCATCTGCAAATAGAAGATGTGAGATGGTGGGGGCTCTGTGGCAAATTTTGATTCCATGGATTTTCCCCTCCCTCTCAGCCTTCTTCAACAGGGCTGAGAAACCCTCGGCACAGATGAGGAATAGGTAGGGCGAGAGGGGGTCGCCTTGCCTTAGCCCTCTTGATGACTTGATGTCTTAGAACGATGGCCATTAACGAGAACTGAATAAGAAACACTCCTAACACACATCATCATCAACTTATCCAGTATTCATTGAAACCCAACTTATGTAGCACTTTTTCCAGAAAATCTCATTCAACCCTGTCATACGCCTTGGTCATGTCAAGCTTGGCACCAAAGAATCCCCTTTTTCCTTTCGTCTTCCTTTTCCAGTACTGAAAATATTCAAAAGCAGTAATAATGTTGTCAGTAATAAAGCGACCCTTGATGAAAGCACTTTGTTCTTCAGAGATTAGGTCATTAAGAATCCCTTTGAGTATGTTGGCCAGGATTTTAGAAGCAATTTTATAAAAACCCTGCAAAGGCTAATAGGGCGAAAGTCCTTAGCCATTGTGGGTGTTTTCACCTTGGGAATGAGTACTATCAATGTGTGGTTGATTTCTGGAGGGAGGTAGCCTTCATTCAAGAATTTTAGAATAGCAGAAGTGACATGGCCTCCAATTGAATCCCAGTTTTGTTGGTAGAAACTAGCAGGAAAGCCATCCGAGCCAAGAGCTTTCGTAGGTCCCATCTCCTTAAGAGCTTTGCTAACTTCGTCTTCTCTGAAAGGGGCAGATAGTTCTTCATTCATGCTGTCTGTCACTTTTCTTTCAATGGCATTGACTACAAAATCAGAATTAGGGTTAGGTCCTCCAGAAAACAGATTGCTGTAGTAATCAACCAAGTGATTAGTAACATCCTTTTGACCTTTGTGTTTCCTCCCAGATTCATCTGTAATTTCTTTAATTGTATCACGTTTCCTTCGCAAGGTAGCTTTGGAGTGGTAAAAATTGGTGTTGTTGTCCCCTCCTTTGAGCCAATCCGCTCTGGATCTTTGCCTCCACTTCAATTCAACTTTGTGAATAAGATCCGTTCTCATCGTTTCCAGCTCCCTTCTTCTCTGGATTTGTTGTTCAGTTTTGGGGTAGTATTTAATCCTTGCAAGCTCCTGTTCAATCTTCTCAATCCTCTTTTGTAGATTACCAAACTTCTCCCTACTCCATCTCTACAGCTCTTTTTTGCACTCTCCCAAAATGTTCAGAATATTACCTTCTTCATTAGAGTTGCAGGCATTAGAAATTACTTCTATGCTTTCAGGGTCCTGAAGCCAGAAGGATTCCACTCTAAACTGCCATCCCCACTTGATATCCTCTTCTTCTTTATCCTTTGTATTCATTAAGATAGGGCAGTGATCTGAACCACACCTGTCGAGGTGTGTAACTTTATGGTTTGGAAACATCAGCTGCCAATCCCAATTTGCTATGCATCTGTCCAGTCTTTCCTCAATAAAACCGGTTCCCCCTCGACCATTGTCCCAAGTGAAAGGGTAGCCCTCGAACCCACAATCTATAAGTCTATAGAGTTCTAACACATCACAGAATCCTGAGACCATATTTTCATTTATATTTCGACCTCCTTCCTTCTCATCTCCCGCCATTACTTGGTTAAAATCTCCCATACATAGCCAGGGGAGGTCACAAGTGCCTTTCAGGCTTCATAATTGATCCCAAGATTGTTGTCTTTCACTTCTATTCGGATTCCCATAGAACCCAGTAAAACGCCATTTTGGACCTTCCTCCTCATACTCCACAATCACATCATAGTAATTAGTAGAACTTGCCAAATAGGAAATAGTGATACCCTCCCTCCAGAATAACCAGATACCGCCAGCCTTAACACCATTATCTTCCCTAGCAGGGATACCCCATCCTTTTTTGAACCCCAGTTTCCACTTTACCTTCCTCCAGTCCTTACTAGACAGTCGAGTCTCCATCAAGAAAAGAACATCTGGTTTTTGTTTTCCCACGAGTCTTTTTAACTCATCAATTGCCGAGGTTTGGCCCAGACCCCGACAGTTGTAGCTTATGAGATTCATTGGGCTTGGCGGCCTTGCTCCTCGGCAAGGACCGCCACTTCGCCATCCACGATAAGGTTTGTGTCTTGTTTGAACTTTTTCCCACCACAGGGACTAGGATCAATATCCATATCTTTCACTCCATCCTCAAACACCCTCTTGCTGCATGCTTTCTCCCCAACACCTTCAGTGATCTCAGCCTTTTTCCTTTCAAATAGAATCCACCTCTTACTGCCTGCTAGATTTGTATCTGTTATAATCCCCGAGGGGTTTCCTTTCTGATCAGCCTGTCTTACTTCACTCTCCTTCACCTGAAGAACAGTATTTGATTCTGCATTCGTGCTCAAACTGAGTTGCCTTTCTGCTCCATTAATATCCTTGTCTTCGTTCTTCCCATGAAGGGACTCTCTCACTTCCTCATCTTCTTTTGGACCTGATTCTTTAAAGCTAATAACTTGTAGTTCATTAGCAAGTTCCTTGGTATTGATCTCTCTTGACTCGTTCTCTTGATCAGTCTCTATCCCCTCATTGGCAACCAAATTCCTTCCTTTTTGTTCTTCTTTCTCGTTTTGTTCTTCTATCTGCTCTCCTCTTGACTCGAGGTCCCTTTGTGATTTTCCCTTCTTTCAGCTCACTCCACAGGTTGTCTAGTCTTTTCTTTTCTTCTTTATAGTTCATGTCGATTCTTTTTAGAGGGGACTCAACTCGAAGCCATGTTCCATATTCTTCTCTCCGCTCAGCTTCAGAACCTTCCAGCTTTTTCCGGCACCCATTCTTTAAGTGCCCCAAGATTCCACAGATGTAGCAGTAGATTGGAAGCTTCTCGTATGCTACCTTTTATGATACAGGTCCCAGTGGACCATCCAGCTTCACGAATCTACGTAGTGGTCTTTTGGTACTGATAGAGACTCGAATCCTCAGATACTCACTATCTCGACCAGAATGGAACTCGTCCCACTTTATGTACGAGCCAAACATTCCCCCTATTTTTTATGCCATATTTTTGTTCCTGAGTTTCAGCGGGATTTTCCGGATCCTGACCCATATCTCTGTTAATGAGAAGTCGATACCTTCTGTTTGTAAATCTGGTGGTATCTCCTTGAAAACAATAAGTTGTTTCTCATAGTGCCAAGGGCCTCCATGGAGAACCCTATCCCTATCTTCGTAGCAGTAGAACTGCATCAGCATGATACCTTACTGATTTATTCTGACATCGAAGGCTTTCTTCAGCCGCCAAACTTCTTTTAGAATGTTCTTCATGACTCTGGCCAAACCAAGTCTTCCTGCAACTATTTTTCCTGCTATTCTAAGTTCAGTAATCACCTCTTCTATGTCCTTCTCTTCATCACACTCTTCTATCTTGATACTCGCTTCTTCCTCTTCTGTTAAGCTTACATTTGCTATTTTGTCTATGATATCAGATTCAGTCGCCATAGGTGGCACACGAAACGTCACTGACCTGGAACCAAAAAAGGAGAGGACAAACTAACAATGCGCACTGGAGAACTATAGCATGGTGCAGAGGGGAATAAAAAAGGAACACGGAACAGTACTTAAGGCCTACCAGATTACAGGCGAGAGACAGAGAATCAAATCCGCAGAAGGCGGGAGATGAACAGTCACTCTGAAGGACAGAGGAAAGAAAACTCTCACATAGGAGAGAAGAATTCCTTCATTTTTTTTTTTGGAAAATTTGTTGCCTTTCAAAGTCAAATTCAATTTTTTTTTTTTGCTCTCGCATCAAGTCATATATATCACTTTTTTCCTTAGCAATTACCATAAAAACCAACTATTGCATAGGTTATTTCTCTATTATGGTTAAGTCGGTCCATATGAATATGATCAAATACAAATCCGTACCTGTGGAAGAATAGTCCAGTAGAATGGAGTTAGATCGTCGTGGATAACCAAGGCAAAGGTAGGCAGGCACGGCGGCCGGCGGCGGTTGTGCGACGGTGTTAGGAGAGGGGGTTGGTGGCTAAAGCGACAAATCACCAGAATTACCTGCAAATTTCAAAGCTTCCATTTCCCATTACCACCAACCAACTAAGGAAAAAAAAAAAAAAAACTAAACAATTAAGACTTTCACAGTTTCACTTTAACACCTACTACTGGCTACTCCCCCGCCCGCCCCCAAGATCCGATCCCGTTTATTCCGCTGCTATATATCTTCGGCTTCGACCCTCCCCTTTTGTTCGCCTCTCTATTGCACCGAACCGGTAAAAAGGAGAAACCTTTCTCAGTCTCCTCTCCAGTACTAGACTGCAGAGATTTGCAAAGCAGCAACCAACAGCCTTTTCTTTTCCCCAATTCCTAGATCCGAAGAATGGCGTGCGAGGGTACTTTGTTGGGTATGGGGAACCCACTCCTCGACATCTCTGCCGTTGTCGACGACGGCTTCTTGACAAAGTAAACGATATACTCTCATTCTTTCTTCCTTTTGTTTATGCTTGTTGCTGATCATGTTGTGAGATTGGATCCTGGAAGTGGGTTTGGAATTGAATTGTAGTGTTCATTTGCTGAGTACGGGATCTGTGGTTTCCTTTTTGTAGCTGGAAAGTAGTCTTATTTGGTTGTTGTTTGGATATCTCGAGTGTTCTCCCTTGGTGGGTTGTTTTCTGATTTGGGAAATAGATCTCATATAATGTCTGCTGGTGGGTGGGTGTAGTAAATGACTGATCTTTTGGCTTCTGGGATTGTCATTTTCTATTTCTTTTTGTGGTTAGAAGTTAGAGGTTGAATGGTTGTATTGTTGTGAGAAAAAGGAGGTTGAAAAAGTTTTAACTTTTTTTTGAATCTTGAGAGTGGTTGGCTCTTTGGAATCAATCAAAGTGAAACCCTATCTAGATGTGTGAACTAATGAATATTATGTCGAACAATCTTGATTTACAACGATGCTTGTTCATTCGATAGGTATGACATCAAGCTAAACAATGCTATCCTGGCCGAAGACAAGCACTTGCCCATGTAAGTTTCCCGATTCCATCTGAAAATGAGCATCATCATTTCATTTCCCGATCTCTAGGAATCCTTCATTATGTGTAACCTTTTGGCCCTTGCTGCAATTGGTTGTTATATTATTTGATTGTACTTGACTTTTGCAGGTACGATGAAATGGCAGGAAAATACACTGTTGATTTCATTGCTGGAGGTAACATCGGGTTCTGCGAGCATTTTCATCATCTTAACCGTGAAGGATGTCTATGGTGTTCAGTCTGCTAATTCTATTACTTTTTTCTTTTGAATTCTTAGGTGCCACTCAAAATTCCATCAGAGTTGCCCAGGTATGACGACACACACGAATTACTGATACATTTCTGCTATGCTTCATACAATGTTACTGATTTTCTTCTGTATATATTGCAGTGGATGCTCCAAAAGCCAGGTTCAACAAGCTACATTGGTTGCATTGGGAAGGACAAGTTTGGAGAAGAGATGAAGAAAAATGCTAAGGAAGCTGGTGTCAATGTGTGTAACTTTTTCATCTGCATTTGACTGATAAATTGTCTTCATTTCTCTGTTTTAACTTTTCGTCTTACTGTGTGTATTTTGTAAATTAGGTCCATTACTATGAGGATGAAGCTGCTCCCACTGGAACATGTGCTGTCTGTGTTGTCGGTGGTGAGAGGTTAGTTAGTACCTTACATACATATATTCTGACATTTTTTAACTAGGGTATAAGTAGATGCATTGTTACATAGCAACATTTGCTACTCTTAAAGTGATTGATGCTTAGGTGGCTATTGTTCTGCCATGCTTGGAAACTTTTCATGAAGGCTTTGTTTGTTGCATTCTTTGCACCATTAGTTCGTAGTTTTTGTGATAACTCTTTTGTAGTAATAAGCTGGAGTATTGAGTCTCATGGGTTAACTAAATGGCAGTTAAAAAGAACAGAACATGTGTGCATCTTGAATTCGAGCGAGCCCTCTCGTTTTCAGTGACAGGGAGATGGAATTGTGCGAGCAGTTAAATTTACCATACATTTGTTCTCAGCATATTTGTCAACACTTTCTGAACTAAGAAACTGAATAATCCCACAGATCGCTTGTTGCAAATTTGTCAGCTGCGAACTGTTACAAAGCTGACCATTTGAAGAAGCCTGAAAACTGGGCACTAGGTATATTTTCTTGCACATAAGTCTTTTGTTCAGTTTTGCTTTAGTTTTCGAATATATTATCTGATACACTTTCTGTTTTTTTTTTAATATAGTTGAGAAGGCCAAATATTACTACATTGCTGGATTTTTCTTGACTGTGTCTCCCGAATCTATTCTGCTTGTTGCTGAACATGCAGCTGCCAAGAACAAGGTAATCATTCCTATCCTTCTATCTCTTTCTCTTCCAGTTTTTGTACCTCATGAAATTCATGGTCTAAGTGTTTTGCTTTTGACAGATCTTCTCGACCAATCTTTCTGCACCATTTATCTGTGAGTTCTTCAAGGATGTCCAAGAGAAAGTTTTGGCGTAAGCTTCCCACTCAAAATGCTGGTTCATAACATAAACGTCTATTAATGATCTGTCTCTTACACATGTTCTTGCTCTTTAGTTATGCAGACTTTGTCTTTGGCAATGAGACTGAAGCTAGAACCTTCTCAAAGGTTCATGGATGGGAGGTATTTGCTTTGCCTCATTTGATAAACAACAAACTAAAAAACGATATTGCAAAGTCTTATAAATTGAATCATGTGTTCTTTTCTCAGACTGAGAATGTCGAGGAGATTGCCATCAGGATCTCCCAATGGCCCAAGGCCTCTGGGGCACACAAGAGGATTACTGTCATCACACAGGGTGCCGACCCTGTTGTCGTGGCAGAAGATGGGAAGGTGAAACTATTCCCAGTGACCTTGTTGCCTAAGGAAAAGCTTGTTGACACCAATGGAGCCGGTAAGAATCGGTTTAAAGTTTTTTCCAGTGATTGAATTTTACAGTCGAGATGTCCACCCTTTGTAACACATTTGTTCATGTTGATACTTTCTATTCTACTTCTGCTAGTTATAAAGTTTCTATTCTTTCTATCTACTGACTATAACATATCTGCATTATTTCTCCAGGGGATGCATTTGTCGGCGGGTTCTTGTCGCAATTGGTGCAGGAGAAGCCCATTGCAGACTGTGTCAAAGCCGGCACCTACGCAGCCAATGTGATCATCCAGAGGTCTGGCTGCACATACCCAGAGAAGCCAGAGTTCAATTAGATCCTTCCAATTTTGGAATTCCCCCACAAGAGCGCACATTCTTGTAGCATTGGATTCTAAGGAGTCCTCTACAGCTTGAAACATATATCAATTTGCTGCGGCCTTTATGTGAGAGACACGATGTGAGAGGGGCCGCTCGGCCTAGAGGGGGTATTTGGGGGTATTTGGGTAATTTGTCATTATTAGAGAGGGAGAACTATTTAAGCTACAGTCTTTGTTATTTTGATCAATCAAGCAGAATATCAGAATCCCTAGACCTAATTCCTCATCTCTTCTTCAATTCTCATCTCAAATTCCCAATTCTCAACCCTAATTCTTCTATTCTCAACCCTAATTTCTGAATCGATTATCCGTGTTTCTCACACTTTACATTATCATATATGTTACCACTCAAAACCCATGAACCCAGAGGATTTTTTGGTAGAGGAATTCTATGTTTCTTGTTGCCCAATGCCTCTCATGTGCTTGTGGGATATATACATTGTGCTATTTCATCACTGGAAGTTAGTTTTTTGGCTTCAGAGTTTTTAGTTCTGGAAATGAAATGGACCAGATGGTTCTCATCATTTATTGCTCTTTGTATCCTTTTACCCGCCCTTGTTATATGATGTGTTTTGCCTGGTTTCAATTGCGTCTGTTCTGCCATGAAGGCTGAAAAGGCCAAGCCTGGCGAATGTACGATATCAGATATCAAAATCAAACGTGTAAATGCATACCTGTTCTTGGAAAGGCTATTGCTTGCCTGTTATCATTGCCTAAGCATGCTAATAATAATTCATGGGGACTAATGCATTGCAGTTCAGAAATTTATTTTTCTGCTATCTTTTCAAGAATTCGACTGCTAAGATGAACTCCTAAGCCAGTCTAGCTCGGTCAGTTGTGCGTAAGGCTCTTAACCTTGTGGAGGTGGTTTCGAACTTCGAACACCATGGTGACTGACTGGTGAGGGGTTGGTCTCAACTCTTGAGAACGAGTAGATTGCTTTGATCAAAGATGTTTGCCTTGGTGAAGTCCAATCATGTGCTGCTAATTAAATAGGAAAACTACAATAACTACTGCATCTGAAGGGGGACAAAGATGAATTTCATAGCAGAGTTCTTTCGAACTCGATCATTGAATTCTCTACTGTCGAGGTACCGCGCTGTATTCCATTGATCATCAGCTGCCATTTCGTAGTTAGTATTCCAGAAACAAGGTGAAATTAGTTAAAATGCTGTATACAGAAAGAGCTGATGCAGGGGAAGCAGTGAAATAACAGAACAAAAAACAGAAGTGGATGGGAAGGAAAAATCAAAAGCAAGAGCTCCAGCAACAGAAGGAGGGTCGTCGGCAGCAGTAATCATAATCATGTTTCGCGCAGTCGAGAATGTCGATGAAAAGGGTGTCACAGCAGGGAATGTGAAGCCTCCTTGCCTGGAAATCATGATCTGGTTCATCATCAAGTAGCAGCTGGTCAAGCAGTTTCCTGAAGAGGGGATGGTTGATCAAAGCTACCCTGATGACATATCTTTTCCAGTCTTCACCCACGTAAACCGCCAAGTGCCCTCTTGGAACCACGGCCACATTCTCCTTCTTCTCTGGTTTCCAACTCCAACAGCAGCAGCAGCAGCTGGTTGCAGCTTTGAAACATTGTTTCATGACACAGCTTCTCTCGATCTTCTTCAAGTACTTCATCATCATCTTTTTATTCTCTTTCGTTTGGTTTTTCTCAACAAGCTAATTGCACATATATGTATAGTGATATTTACATTCGGCCACAGCACACTGAGTTGGAACTTGGAAGTACTGTAACAACTGGTCGAGGATTTGGAGACATCTTGCATATCATATATTCTTCATATATAGCTGGAAATCCAAATATATGTTTACTATATTTAAAAGAGAGGATGGTGTTTAGAAAGAGGTTATAACATTCATTACTTTGTTTGTCATCTTGCACTTAAAAAACATTGAAGTACTTAGAGCGAGTAGTGCCGTAAAAAATCCGTTGATACCAATAGCTCGAATTGTTGTATTGGAGAGGTTCAATTATGGATCTTATACTATTTATCAACACGCTCTGTCCCCTCAAAACGAAAGAGACAACTCAAGTTATTGGAATTCGAACTCAAATCTCTCGGTCATTGAAGGGTCTGATACTATATCAAGAACAAATTCGTCACAATAACTTGAGTCGGTGAGAGATGTTCAATGATAGATCTTATACCGCTTAATCACAAGTGCATAGATAATGAATATTGTGAAGATTGATATTATGGCTTAGGTTCAGTGCATGTTGTGATGGTTAATGGGTGAAGTCCAAGGGGTCACTTAACTAATGTGGATATATGTGATAAGTACAACTCTATAGTACCTGTCAGAATCATAACACTTCCAATAAAATTACTTTCATTGATTCTGTGATTAAGGGAACATTATATTTTGTTCCAGAGATTGATCTTTGGTTAATTAAGTAGTAGCTAGCTAGAAGATAAGAGATCAAAGGGGTTTTGATCTTGATCATAGGAATAAAATAAGTAATTACAATTTACAAGTAGTAGTGGGAGGGGAGGGAAGGGAAGGGGGGAAGGATGGTCATGAGGATAGATCTTGTATCTCAAATCTCTGACAAGAAAATGTGTAAGATAAGAATTAATTAGTTGCCAGTTTGCTGGTTATGTTGCATGCTGTGTAATTTTCCATCTTTTGGGGATAATGTATTATTGTAATTAAGTTAAGCCCCATCCCAATTTCATCATAAATTATGAAGTAGAAAACAAGGAGCTGAAGATTGAGAAGACTTTTTGGGAGAATAATATCTGTTTAGGTATTTGTATATGGGATCGAACCAGAACAAAGCACAAGTGTTGTTCTGTAGAGTTTTGAGTTACAAACTGTGGTATGTTTGTTCATAGCATTACGATGTATAATGTCTGGGTTTAGTAAGCGATTTTTAAATACTTAATAAAAGATACTTTTAATATCTAGCTCTTGTAGCTCAGTTGGTTAGAGCACCCGTTTAGTAAGCGGGAGGTCTTGAGTTCGACTCTCAACGAGAGCAATAAAATAATCTATCTATACATAATATTATGGCAATTCAAAATTAAATTTTTGCCACATAAGCACTTGGAGAGATCTCAAGTTGCCAAGGTGAACAATTTTTTTACCAAAAAAAATATTTATTGACCTATTTATGGAGTTGTCCATCTCTCTTCATTTAATATTTAATTCTCTTTTATCCAATAATTATTTTGCTTTGTTTTTGCATTATATCTATAAATAATATATAGAGAGAAATGTTATCAAACCGGTTTAGCAAGTGGAATGGTTTTACTAGTGGTACAACCGATTTGTGTCGTTTCATGCCCGTTAATAAAATAGGTAGAAATATAAAAAATTATTAATATCAAATGTATTTAATCATATATAAACCATATTTGAAGACAATTTAAGTACAATTCATATTGATATTTGAATAAAATATGATATTTCAAATAAAATTACATTTACGCATACTTAAATTCGCTAAAACTACGTAATTTACTTAGAAATTCGTAAAATGATCATACCGGTCATACCGATGGTGTCATGTCGATTTCATGACTGGTACCGGTTAAATGGTTCAACCGGTGGCATGTCGGCTGACGAGACAATCATGATGGAGAGTGACATATATCACATTTTGGTTTTGCATTATATCGATGTATGCAACAGTATACTAATGTTCGTAGAGTGACATATATATCACACTTTTTAAACCAAAAACTATATGATTAAAGATCACTATGTAAATTTCTGCTCATTTTTACTAAAACTTAATAATAATTTACATTTTAATGAATAATTTAAACAAACACACAAAAATAATAATATTTTGTCGATAAGGTCTGAAAGAAACTTGACCAAGAAATAATAGTTATTTATTAAAAAAAACTTCTTATTCATTCTGATCAAGTGAAAACATATGAATCGCATGTGCAGTATTTATAATGTATCCTAAGTTCACATTACTAATATTTTCTCTAGGTCATGTTGATTGAGCAAGCTCTATTGAGGTCTTACATCATATGCTAAGAAATTTTCTTTTCAGACTTGAAGTTATTTATTGTTAAAGATTATAAATTGAAGTTTCCAAAATGAGTTGAGTATAATAGTTGATGAACTTTGATTTCATATTCTAGGATGAGACACGAGATCACTTGAAAAATGAAATGTGTGAAATTTAGAGAAATCTTTGTTAAGGATGTACGTTAAACATCACATTTCATGCTAAGAAAAATCTAAATTCGAAGATTGAGGTAATAAATAAACATTAATGTTTTACTTCACATATATAAAAAAAAACATTTATAGTTACAATAGTGTAAACCGAGCTATAGTGTAAACCGAGCTATTGTGATTTCATACCAAATTTTGACAATAATAAAAAAAATTGATATCATATTCCACCTAAGGAGCTGAGCTCAAAGGTATTAATTAGTGTAGAAAGTAAAATAAACTCTTTGTATATATATGTTTAAATATTAACAATAGATGTGTCTACAATACATCCAATAATTTAAATACACGTGAAAAGTCACAATGTTTGCATGAACTTTTAAATTTTGCTACAAAATATTTTGTTAAAAAATATAAGTTAATTATTCAAGAAATACATAATTTTGAATGCACCTAAAATTTGTATCGGTAGTATAGACACTTTACTAATTATTAATATAAGTAATGAAATTTTTGTTCTAGAACAAACACCAAATATAAAGAAATTTTAGCGAATGGACATTCAAATAGTTGAAAAGTTCTACAGTGAATGAACATGTTAAGATGAGAACCTTCGATAGTGTTTATGAATCCTTGGATTCAAATTCTAAACGAACATCTAGACAAAAGGCATGGGTTGAGGGTTAGTACAAATTTAAAATATTAGCCATTGTAATAAGTTGCTATACAAAGACTTCATGAACATCTACAATAAAAATGATTGAGGTTTAGAGAATTTAATCATTTTAAGGGATACGATGTGTGTCAAATTTCAATTGGGATAAACATAATTTATTCAGTAATCAAGTTTCTTTTTCCAATAATTTGAACTCTGATTAATTGGGTGAGAGATCGTACAAACCCGAGAATCATGAATTGATATATTTTGTATAAGATAATAAATTTGAGCGTCTTGGTGGAAAATAATTTATATACGATCCTAAATGAGACATGATAAACTTTTACGACATGATTTATGATCAGAGAATAAAAACATCACAAACGAGTGTGCTAACTATTAAATATTATTCGATATAGACATACCACATATTCACTTATGAAGCGAGAGCAGAAAATGTATACAAGCTCCAAAAAGTTCAAAACATGTAGATAAGTTAACTAATATAAATAATAAAATGAACTTCTCCGGCCAACTGGCCGGGTAAAAAACTAGTATATATATATAATGATAAGTTCTTCCTTATCTAAAAGAAGAAACAATACAAATTTGTGGATGTATTTTTATAAAAAATTAGTTACTTAATTAGTGGATTTTTTATAAGCCAAATAATACTCATAGTAAATTAATCAAACTGCTATATAAAAATTAGTTACTTAATTAGTGGATTTTTTATAAGCCAAATAATACTCATAGTAAATTAATCAAACTGCTCTCAAGTGGTTCGACGTTGGGGTTGGAAAATTACTCTTTTGAAACTCAACTTGTTTACTAACTACTTGAGTTTGAGGTAGTCCTAGTTCAGCTTGCAAGGAGCGTGAGCCACCTCGACGCTTAAAGAGAAAATATATGAACAGTTATAGAGAAATTATGTATCATATATTGTTAGATACTAGTTGCTATTAAAGAAATTAAAATTTATTAACTAAATAGTATGATATCTGAGCTCTAGCCCCATCTGGTGAGCTGATTGACGAGGTGACCTCGAGTATAGTTGGGGAGCTCATTAGTGATTCAAAATTGAGCTTAACATGAGTCAAAATTTCAGTAAATAAGCCGAACTCGAACTTAAATCTTTCATTAACAATATGAATCGTAGCAAGATCAAACCTCGACTCGGCTGCTCATTTGCCATCCTAATTGGCGGTGAGCATGCATGATGTCTTGTTTCTGTGCCTCCCCCATTAGTTTGCTGAGAATGGCTAGGACCAAATTTTGGGGCAAACAACGGTCGGTGATTGGTAGGTCTTTGTCTCTTGAAGATGGCTTAAATATTCCCCCATTCATCATCACTACCTTTCCTATTGCCAGTTGAGGTTTCTCAATTTTTTGTTCACTACTTGCAAAGTGATTAAAGATGGGTTTGTTGAGGGTACATGAACATCAGATGATGGAAGATTATTTTTTATGTAGCGAATATATGCACTGGCTTATATGTAATAATACGCAAAGTCACCATAAAAACCTTACTCACATAACATACGTAATATGTAACTATTGTCGCACAACCTTTATTTCATGAATATGAGAATATGTACCTTTATCTTAAAAGTTATGTAAGAATTGAATTCCATATTTGATTTGCAAGAGTATGCTCGTGACTGATGGATGGTTGAATCAAACACAGTTTATTTGTATCGTAAACCAAGTGGTTCCAATAACTCCAGTTGTCGGGAGAGTTTCATGTATGATATTGAAACCACTTTCTTACACGTTTCTTCAAACGAAAGTCCAATTAATAGGGCTTGAAGTTTGCACACGCCTCCTCTGTACCATGTCCATGTGCTTTAAGACAACAGTTAATATTGAGTGCCGTGAAGACTTGAACATGTGGACCTCAAAGTTAGACAAACCAACTCCAATATTATGTCATAAACCAACAGATCCCAATAACTCTAGTTTGTTGGAGAGATCCATGTATATTATTTAATTGCTTCCTTACAATTTGGTTGAATCGATATCATCGAGTATAATTATGTTTTTTTTTAAATCTCTGGATGGTGATAACAGAAGGTCAAGCACTGCAACTACACCAATTCTCAACACATTGACATCTAGTGTTGGGAGTGCATATAACTGAGCAAATGTGCGCACAATCTGTGTTTTTCTTGCACTGGCTCAAGGGATGATATCCAGACCCGCTCGCCGTCCTAGCCTCCACTCCTGCATCTGTAAGAAGAAGAAAAACCACAACAGTAGTAGTTCTGCAATCAGCAAATCTTTTGAGCTTATGCCAATGGAGAGGAGAGAGCAGAGAAGGAAGAGAGATCAGGGAAGCTACCCACATTGCTGTGTGACGAGAAACAGAGCAAGGAACAGAGCAATGAGCATTATGGATGTGTTCTTCTTCATTTTGATGTCTTTTGCAGAGGAGTGGAGAGGTGAAGAAAATCTTGCAAGTGGGAGATTTTTAATCTGTTTGGGAGGAATGATTTCATGTGCAGCAGAGCTCTCTGCTATTTATAAGCCAAGGTGTTGAGCTATCTTGTATTTCTGAATAGTTGTGTGATTATTGTTTCTGATATGTAATGGTATTATTATAATAATTATTTCCAAAAAAAAAAAAAGATGGTTGAATATGGTAGTTGGGATATTTAGTTATTTGTCCAAGATTTTTTTTAATGTAATTGCTATAAGTTCAACAAGAGAAGGATATTTTTACTATATATTTTATCATATTGTATAGACAGTGTATGTACAATTTTTTTTACATGACACCTATATGTACCCTAGGTGATAGGAGGGGGGGGGGGGGGGTTCGCTACAAAACGAACATACAGTTCTGACAAGAATTTTCCGACGACCGTAAATTCTCGTAAACAAAAATAACTTTTTCGATGAAATACATGTGTCGTCAATAATATCGACCTTTTTATTGACCATTTAGTACACTTTCGAAAATGCGTCAATAGGTACAATTTAAAGTATGTCTGTCCCTAATGCATTTCGTCCCATTTTTCTTTACTTTCTTCTCAAACTATAGTTTCAATTCCCTAGCTGCATCATCGACGGGCCGGAGATTGCGCCGACACCACCGAAGAATCAGAGGCGGCGACACCCAAGGCGTTAATGCACAAGGCCGAGCAAGCACCATCGCACTCCGACGAGGGACCGCCCGTCTCTTTCTGGCACTGCGGCATGCATTCCGACATGCACCCTTGGATGATTGCTTCCCCAACCCTCATCGTCGTCACCATCATGATCAACATCGTCACCATTGCTGCCCTAATCGATGCACTAATATTATTATCGACTATCATCGCGTTTCTGTAAACAGGTTCTTAACTTGACAATGTGGAGGCAAAATCGGTTCGTTATATATGGGGAAGGAAACTGAGCAAGATATATAAGGTTGTTCTTCACCTTGTTTTACAACGGTGTCGAGGAAATTAAGGATCGCTAAAATAGAGAAAAGGAAAAAATAACCATTAAAGAGAAATGCCCAAATATGCCTGAAATACCCAAATATGTTTCTAAATTTTTTTGAGTTTTGGATTGGGCGTCCTGAATTCATGGAGAATGTTATGAGAGGTCTGGTGTATTGAAGTTACTGGATCTCCAAGGGTAGTTGTACAAAGTAAATTAAAAGAGGTAAAGAAGGGTTTGGAACATCTTAACAAAACTGTAATAATCCCTTCGAAAGTAGTTTCGAAAAGGCAGTAGAAGTTTAGAAGAAGTACAGTGAGTTACATAAAGCTAAAGAGAGCTTTTAATAGACAAAAATCGAGGATATCCTGGCTTAATTTGGGAGGTAAGAGCACTACATTTTACCACCAAGCAGTTTAAGCAGAAAGTTGATAACCAAAGATGGTCATTACTTGACTTCTACTGATGAGATAGTGGAGGAAGTAGTGGGGTACTATAAAAAACGGTTTGGAACAACTAATAGTGAGATTAATTGTTAGAAGAGCAAGATTGAAGGAGATTATCAAGTTGAAACTTGGTGATGAGCATAAGAATTCTCTTTATGCAGGGGTTAGGGAGGAAGATATGAGGAAGACTTTCTTTGATATGGATTCTCACAAGGCTTCAGGCCCTGATGAGTTCTCAGCTAGCTTCTTCATTTGAAGAAGCTAGTGGAGAACTCATCTTCAAGCGGACATTACATATAGATATAGTAGGAGCTGATATCACTGCTTGGATTTCTTCCAGAACACAAAAATGTTGTCAGGTATTAATGTTATTGATGTCACCGTGATACCTAAAGTTCCCATATCTTTGCTTCTTAAGAATTTTAGGCCTATTTCCTGTGTAAACCAACTCTACAGAATAGTTGCAAAAATCCTAGCAAACAGACTTAGCCTTGTCTTACCCCAAGTAATTAGCCCAAACACGTCTACATTTGTGAAGGGTAGAAGAATTGTTGACAATATCATACTCGCTCAGGAACTGACAAATGGTTATAGTAGAAATAAGCTCTCCTCCAAATGTACAATAAAAGTAGATCTAATGAAGGATTTTGACTCCTTTCATTGAAAGCATCTCTTCACTGTGATGGAAATAATGGGTTTCCCTGTGACTTTTACCAATTAGATTATGAAGTGTGTTAGAACTGCTAGGTTTAGCTTTAACATAAATTGGGGGATGCATGATTTTTTTGATACCAAGTAGGGAGTCAGGCAAAGAGACCTCCTATATCCTTACTTGTTCTTCATCGCAATGGAAGGGTTGTCAGAGTTATTAAATCTTGCACAACACTTGAGTCTTGCCTTTTCACCACCCTCAATGCAAGAATGTTCTATTAACTTACCTATACTTTGATGATGACCTTCTTATCTTCACAGAAGTATCAACACAAGCTATAAGAAAGGTTAAAATACTTTTACAATAACTAGCACAGGGCCCGACCCGTTGGTCGAAAATTTTTGTCGAGAAATATAGTATATAATAATGAATATAATAGATAATTTGAAATGCATAAAATGAGTATTTTGTATCTTACTTATGCACATAACATTTTTTGAAGTGATCTAACTATGCAAAGCGTGTTTAGATCTTATGAAAAGAGAAATTGCATATAAATTGAATGAAAAAAGAAATAAATATAAATAATTTTCATTCATTACTTAATTAAACAAAGTAGTTGAATATTAGAGTTGCTTCTCATAATACATACATAATCAATTTTTAGGATGAATTGTCATTAAAAAAAAAATTCAGGATGAAAGAAAATGTCTCTTATAAAATTCAGTATGTTCTTTAAGTTTTTTCCCTCTAAAATAATTCAAAACTCACAGAATAGGGCCAACAATACTCACTATGCAAAGCAGAAGAGCAATTATTTCACACTACCTCCTTTTCCCCCTCTTTTAAATGTGCAATCTCACTCTCTCTTTGCCTTCCTCTTTCTTTTTCCGTTTTGTTCTTCCATCTCTCTCTGAGCTTCATATCTCACCACTCTCCCCCTTTCCCTTCCTCTTTCTTCTCACCGCCTGGAATCGAGAGAAACCTAGAAAAATTCTAATTAATTCTTCAATTTTGTGTTTGAAATGCTTCTTCTCCATTCACAGACGATAGTGTGGGTCAGAGCACCTGAGACCTGGCGAATAGATGACCGCTTATTCTTCAACGGAGCAAAGTAGTTTGATAGCATGTGAATAAACTAATTACTAAAAGTGATAAAAACACAACTCGTTGGCCGGAATGTTTCAAATATGAACCAAGCCATTAGCCTTAAATATAGCCACTATTGCCATGCACCATGATGCCCCTAGAGTGAACATGAAAAAACCAAAGTAATGCTTACCTTGCTCCAATTGTCGATGGTAAAAATGGAAGCCACCAAGAGATTTCATAAGAAAAACCCGAACTGGATTGCCCTTAGACCAACAACCACAGTGACACCAAAGGCAATGAATCCCTGGCTAAGAAAACAACAACCAGAAATGTCTAAATCATGTCGATGGAATGCGTCGGCGAGTTTTTTCTGAAAAATAGTTTTGTTAATTAAAATGACAGAAAAAATACAAAGCATACAATCTGCTGTAAAAATCTCATATACAAATAAAATAAACAAGCAAGCAATATATGCTTGGAAGCACCAACACATAATAACTTTTGTCAATATCCCTACCACTGTGAAATCCTACAAATCACTCATAACCACTCTGCTACACTAAACACACAAATGATTTACAACTCTGTAATTTCTATCTCTTCAATCTGTATACGTCAATCGTCATGAATCCTCCCCATTATCACAATTTTTATCTTTCTCGACAGCAAACACACTGATTGGTCCACTCTTACTCCTTTGTGGCCGCTACATAACATTTTGCATAAGTGCACATTAATTCAAACGACCATTCCTTGCTGCAATTTATGGCTTGGGGTAATATCACTTCAGTCATAATACAAATTTACATGAAATGAAAGTAACGATCATTATAATAGCTTGTAAAATTTAGAGTACCAATGCTGATTCCTCTCTTCTCCTTGGTGGCTTCGTCAATAAAATGAGATTGATGACTATCTCTACTAATTCATTCTATATGATCATAGTATGACATTTTGTATAAACCATTTCTACCTTACCAATTTTCGCATCGCAACTCCAAGAGCTAACTTGCTGGGGCTCTCCTCTAGGTAAACAACTTGTATCAACATCAGTCATGAAAACAAAAATTGTTTTGGTTGAGATACTATCAGGATCTTGTGATACTCCAAAAAGGCTAAATCGTTTCTTAGACATTGTCAACCCCAATCAATTTGACATGGGTCATTGCTCTCTTACCATCTAAATTAAAGAGGAAGCTCAGGTTAGCCTCTTTTATAGCTTAACTTGACAATTTCTTAGAGGAGATACAATCACGATTCACAATTCTAGAACGACCACATCAAATAATACAATCTTATGGAAACAACACCAATGAAGCACCCAAATTACAATTCTGTACATGTTTCCTATGAGGGTGTGCATGTGCAGATTAAGAAAAATATAAGGATTAAGGAGGGAGCTTACTTGACACGTGGTTTTGATGAGCAAAAATCCAGTCACTAAATTCCAGGTGGAGATGTCCAATTGATCGGGTCTAGACATGCGTATATATCAACATGCTATACTATAAACATAAAGAGTTCGGATTGTCCTTCCCATGACAACATATGCTCACCATGTAATTATTCCTTGCAGAGAGAAGGATATCAAACAATCTTGTATCTGCTCCAATTATCGCTTTCACTCGTACTTTTTATATTGTAGTAATTAGAACCCCACTTTTAAATTTGGAAGCAAGTGACCACAATCACAAAACATCATATTGTAAAAACTTATGTGCAATCATGAGGTTATTTCATTAAAAGAAACCATGTTTTATATGTTGAAGATTAACACTATAGCTTGAATAGTTCAATTCAGCAATGATCTCAGCTCCTACATATAAATTGTGTAAAAGTGGTATGATTGAAGCTATTCTCTATGTTAACACTAATCAGAATAGTCTTTGTTTACTGGAAACTAACTTTGTTTACTGGAAACTAACCACAAAAACATTTCAAATTAGAAAAATGACGATACTAAAAAGGAGTATCATAACAAAAGCAACAAAAAGTATAACTATTTATCTTTAATAAACTCAAAAGTCAACCTAGAAGATCAACCAAATGAACTGATGTTAAGTGATCACACATTATTGTCAAAGAAACTAAATAACCCATCAGTCAGCTCTCCAAGCAAGAACACTCAACCTTTCCCTACTTACCCCTCCGAAAATTGTTTTGCGTAACAATATAGGTGGAGGAGGTTTGGCGGTTGTTGATTCTGATGGGAAGATTTGTAGAGACGGCAATGGTTGAGCGTTTAGTAGGTCGGGAACACAGGAATATGTTTATCTTTAATAAACTCAAAAGTCAACCTAGAAGATCAACCAAATGAACTGATGGAAAGAGATCACACATTACTGTCAAAGAAGCTACATAACCCACCAGTCAGCTCTCCGAGCAAGAACACTCAACCTTTCCATATTTACCCCTCCGAAAATTGCTTTGCATAACAATATAAGTGGAGGAGGTTAGGCAGTTGTCGAGTACGGTGGGAAGGCTTGGAGAGAAGGGAATGGTTGAGCGTTTAGTAGGTCATGACGCCATTTAGATACGTTTACATTATGTTAGTTGCCACTTTTCAATCCGCATTCGACAAACCAACATCACTCAACCTTTCCATATTTACCCCTCTTAAAGACACATGTACCCCATATTAACTCAAAACTTCTATGTTCAAAAATATTGTTGCTTTATGGTAGTTATATTATTTAAGTCTATGTCAAGAATTTTGCTTCGCTTCTACACATTCAATACTGCAATTCGATGTGCAATATTTGCATCAATGACATTAGGCTTGCAATTTTAAAAATTATTCTCCTTTCATTAGATAAATAAAAATAGAATTAATTATTAAACTCGAATTAAAATAATCAAAGTATGAAAATAGAAGTATCAAATACCAAAAAAATATTTAGGGGAGAATTAGTGGCTTAGCTAACTGTGATGGAAAATTTCTATGATTTTTTAGATTTAATCTTCCTATATGTTTTTAATTTAAAAAGTTTAAATAAATTTGTTTAGTGTAACTAGTTATGTTTCTTGTCTTTTCTCAAATAGATCACAATTAAAATCCCATCACTTGTGTATTTTTGTTGTAAATAAGAAATAATAAATGACTGTCAAGACGAATCTATCCTTCCTACTTTTGTTATGGATGCAAGGACTTTGTAATGGGGAAAACTCATTTCTCATTTCACTCTTATATTAGGTGTAGCGAAAGTAACCCGGGTGGTTGAGCGTTTAGTGGGTCGGAAACTATTTGGGCTCGTTTACATTAGTAGTGTCTTTTCCATTCGCGTTGGGCAAACCAACAACACTCAATCTTTCCATATTTACTCCTCCAAAAATTGCTTTGCCGTAACAATAGAGGTAGAGGAGGTTAGCCGGTTGTTGAGTCTGATGGGAAGTTTGGAGAGACGGCGATGGTAGAACGTTTAGTGGGCCGGGGCACTATTTGGGCCCGTTTACATTAGTAGTGTCTTTTCCATATGCGTTCAGCAAACCAACATCACTCAAACTTTTCATATTTACCCCTCTCTTAAAGACACATGTGCCCCATATTCAATTAAAAGTTCTATGTTTAAAAATATCGTTACTTTATGGTCTCTATAACAATTAAGTCTATGTTAAGAATTTTACATCGCTTCTACACGTTCAAGAGTGCAATTCGATATGTAATATTTGAATCAATGACATCGATTGCTAATCGGGGGAGGATCAGGTAACTAAGGGGGTTTCTTAGTCACTTGGCTAAGCCTCCCCTATCCATTAGATCTGAACACACCAATCTGACGGTTATAAAGTGGGAATGACTTTTTAATTAATGACAGAGGTAATTTGGGTATTATGAAAAATTATGAAGTATACAAACCGGACTTACAAACAGTACAAACCATACAAACATACGAACAATACAAACTAGAGCGACAAAAGATACAAACAATACGAAACATGCGAACTATACAAACAATACAAACTAGAACGACAAACATCACAAAAGCATACCAACAGTACAATATCACTACTTACAATACAAATCGTAAACTTGTATTGCAAATTAGTACGATATATAAAACGTAGAGAGAAATATGTAGAGTGAGAGTTTAGAGAGAGAACCATAGTATTGAATAGGATGGAAAGGGAAGAGGATCCTTTGGTTGGCGGGCCTTGGCATCTCTTAGTGGGTTTGTGCCCGAGGCGAGACGTCTTACGATGGGCTTGTGCTCGTTAATGACGTAGTTGTTTGTCGTATTAGATGGATTAATACCACACCCAACAGATACCAAACATGTAGAATTGTACTAGGGATGACAAAAATATCTGTAACCGTGGATATCCGCCCGAATCCAACCTAATCTGTTAGGGTAAAATCCGAACCCGAAGGACTTTTAGTGGGTACGGGTAAAACCCGAACCCGGATATCGCGGGTAATGGGTGGACATGGTTTTCTCACTATCCAACCCGAACCCGTCCGATTATACACATGCATATGTATTTTGTCTAGAAATAATCAATATTTTTCTCTAACTTATTTTATATTTAGCATATAAATATAATTTTTTATGAAATTGTGTTGTTTTAATTAATTTTTTCCATTCTAGTGAATTATTGTCGTACTTTTCATCTTACGTAACGTGAGAATACGTGTAAATATTAACATATTGGTTGGAGTTATAAAGAAACACTATTACCCATGGATAACCGTGGTCCGTGGATACCCGAACAGATATGGGCATGGTTTGGGTTTTCTACCCGTTTCTTATGTGGGTATGAGTATAGGTAAAACCCGAACTACTTTAAGTAGGATAACGAATATGTACTATCCGTCCCTGACCCGACCCATTGCCATCCCTAAATTGTACTCACCCAAACCAATCATTCACATTGTCATTGTGCAAGTCGAATAAGATATTCCAAATTTTGTAATGATTTTTTTCCATATTTTCGGACTAAATCAAACCAAAGTGATTGTATCCTTAACTCCCAAGTTCCCAACTGACGAAATCGAATTGACAACGTTGCTCGCTCTAGCTTTTTATTTTTTTAAGCAACTCTCGCTCTCATTGAGAAACGAACAAACAGCATCGTCACTTTCACCAAAAAAACAATACAGGAGCGTCACGCTCCCCGTCTGCCAGTCATCAGTATGCAATTAGCTCTCTCTGTAACTCCTCATTTCCCCTTTTTTCTCGCTTTACTCTCAGCTGCAGAAAGAGCGACGACGACAGAGGGGAGGGAAAGGAGAAGAGAGTACTGAGTAGTCAAGGCTTCAGAAGGAGACCCACAAAAGAAAACCCTCATTCCATCTTTCACCGTTCCACTCTCAGGTAATCCTCTTCCTCCTTCTCCCTGCCCGAATTCCGGTGCCTGAATAAATATAGGAGCCGTTCTCTCCATCTGTCTGCTGTATATGAAACAATGCGGGAGTTCTTTCTTTATGTCCCTCGACCAATTTGTATTGCAATTCCGAATGTTTAGATTTCACTAGCAGATGGGTTAGTTTTGCTCTACCAGGTTCCACGAGTTAACTAATCGAATTATGTTGTGACACAGGAGTATAGGAATACAATGCATGCATGTCAGAGAGGGAATTTAGGGTTCATCTTTCGCTTGTAGGGTTTTGTGGGGGGGTTTCTCTCAAGGGGCTGTTAGTGTGATTGTGTTTGATATTGGTTTTTGTTGCTCGTTGATTTTGTGCATTTCTTTGTTTTTGGACTTGGCAACAGTTGAGTGATGGATCATTCTCCTGAAGAAGAGTCGGATATCAGCGAGTCCGAGATCAATGATCATGTGGACAAACCATACGAGCAGCTACGATCTCAGTATTACAAAGTACAGGTCAATGGGGCTTTGAAATGTCCCTTCTGTGCTGGGAAGAAAAAGCAAGGATACAAGTACAAGGACTTGCTCCAACACGCAACTGGAGTGGGCAAGGGTGCTGCCAGTAGAAGCGGGAAGCAGAAAGCTAACCATCTTGCATTGGCAAAGTACTTGGAAATCGATCTAGCTGATCTAGCAGATGAGACGCTAACTCGACCTTTACCTCAACCCACCAACCAGTCTTCGGACCAAGAGGACAAGTTTGCGTGGCCGTGGATGGGAATTGTGGTGAACATATCTGCTGCAAGATCAGCGGATTCTCAAGTGCAAGACGACAGTGAGTACTGGTCAAGAAGTTTTGCTAAGTACAAACCTGCAAAAGTGCAGGTGCTGTGGAATGACAATCATCAGGCCAGTCAAGCTGTCCTGCATTTCGACAATGATTGGAATGGATTCACCAAAGCAACAGATTTTGAGAAGGCGTTTGAAAGTCAGCGTCGTGGTAAGAAGGATTGGAAGGCACGAGAAAACGATCCGGGGTCAAGTTTCTATGCCTGGTGTGCACGTAGTGATGACTATAATTCGGATGGACCAGTAGGGGAGTATCTCCGCAAAGAAGCCAAGCTGACTACAATCTCTGGGATTGTTCAAGAAACAAATCAAAACAGAAATACAGTGGTAGCTGGGCTGACAGATGAAATTGCCAAGACTAATCAAGATCTTGATAAATTGCAGAGTATGTACAATAAGAATGCAATGACACTAAGCAAAACACTTGAAGAGAAAGACAAGTTGCATAATGCTTTTGTTGAAGGTTCGTTTCCTTTTCTTTCGAAGTTATGCTCCCTTCCCTTTCACATTACTGGAAACTTCACTGTTAGGTGTTGAATGAAACCAAGGAATGCAAACTGAATTCAGTAACTTGGTGCAGTTTTTTTGTTGTTCTACTGTTATTTATGCTTCACTGCTGAGAATGCAGGAACTGATTATGGCGTTGCATCGTTGAGTTGTTCTGCTTCTTACATCACCTTTGTTTTTATGGTCATCAATGATGTTGGTTCAAGATTTTGCTTTTAATTGGTGAACAGAAACAAGGAAGATGCAGCGGGTTGCACGAGACAATGTTCACAGAATCTTGGCTGAGCAGGAAAGAATGAACAATGAACTGGAGTTGAAGAAAAAGAAAATTGATAACTGGACTAAAGAACTGAATAAGCGAGAAGCATTGACAGACCGTGAGAGGCAAAGGCTTGATGAGGACATGAGGAAGGTAACAGTTCGTAACAAATTGTGAAGCTGCAAAAGCTGGTTTTTGAATCTCCCCCGCGGATGATGCTTAAATGCTCAGTATTAACATTTTTATTGGTGTTTTAGAATGACGTAGTGAACAACTCGCTCAATTTGGCATCCATGGAGCAGAAGAAGGCTGATGAGAATGTTCTAAGACTGGTTGAAGAACAAAAGGTAATTCCTCAAATTGTGGACTGGCTTATGGGTATCCGCCACTTGTTACACTTATTACTTTTTCTCATGGTGGTTTACAAATCTTCAGAGGGAAAAAGAGGAGGCCTTAAATAAGATCATTCAGTTGGAGAAGCAACTTGATGCAAAACAGAAGCTTGAAATGGAAATTCAGGAGCTAAAGGGGAAACTAAACGTGATGAAGCATCTTGAGGATCAGGATGATGCAGCTGTTAAGAAAACCATGAAAGAGTATCATGATGAGTTGGAGCAGAAAATAGAGGATCTGAATAGTGTAGAGACACTTAATCAAACTCTCATTGTGAAAGAACGTCAAAGCAATGACGAGCTGCAGGAAGCTCGTAAACTGCTGATCGAGGTCTGTTTCTCTGCCCCCAAAGATTTTGTCCTATCATGTTGCAGATATTAATGCACACTGCACACCGTCTTTGCACATCAGCATGTTTTCTTTGTGGCTCTATTTCCCTGTTGATATTGAGTTTCTGTACTTTTTTTGTTGTTGGCGGGGATAGTTACAGTTTTTTTACATTGAAAAAAAAAAGAAATGGAAAGGTAAAGGAGGGGGGAAAGGAGTAGAAACTGATGAGTTATGAATTGAAGACTGCAGTCAGCTACTTACTGCCTCATTTTCCCATGCTGCCCACTGTCAATTAATCCCCATCATGTTGTTGAAACGGTTAATTGTTTGGATTGGTGAATGCGGTTGTTTGCTAATTGACTTTGTAGGGGCTGTGTGATACATTATCTGATACTGCTCGCACCACCATTGGGATAAAGATGATGGGTGAACTGGATCAAAAGGTTTTCCTCAATGCATGCAGAAAGAAACACCCACCTGCGGATGCTGAGGTCATTGCTGTAACACTATGCAGCTCCTGGCAGGAGAATTTGAAAGATTCTGAATGGTATCCCTTTAAAGTCATTATCGCCGACGGGACTGAGAAGGTGAGAATATCTCCTTTTCTTTCACTTGTTAACTTTGTGTCAAGAAGCTTTTGCGATCATTGCGAAGTTTGCAAGCATATAACTAGCTATCTGCTGCAGGGTATTATAAATGATGAAGACGAGAAACTGAAAGGTCTTCGGCAGGAGCATGGTGAGGAGATATACCTAGCTGTGGTTACTGCCCTGAAGGAATTGAATGAATATAATCCGAGTGGGAGGTACATCATTCGTGAGCTCTGGAACTACAAAGAGAAACGGAAAGCCACGCTGAAAGAGGTTATTGGCTACATCATGAAACAAATCAAGACGTTAAAGCGCAAGAGGTGATGATGGCTCGAGGTTTGCTTGCTTGGTAAGTTCCTTTCCTTCGGTAGATGAATGATGTATCTGATACACGCAATCAATGTAGTCAAAACCGAGAGTTTCTACGTAGAAACGTTTTGGTGATCTAGAAGCGTAGAATCGCAAGTTTTTAAGTTTTAAAGCGGAGTTTTTAACTACATATAAGTTATAAAAGCTGAGATTTTGTGTAGAAGCGTTTTAGTGACCTAGAAACGTAAAATCGTAAGTTTTTAAATTTTAAAAGTGCGATTTTGACTACATTGCACACAATCATGATTGATAAGTAAAGGAAGTATAAAGGCATGTGAAACCAAAACGAAGCCGGCCCTTCTCTTTCACAGAAAATTTTAAGAAAAGAAACAAGCCGGCCGGGATCAATTGATTTTCCTCTGCAAATTATTAATCAGTAAAAACCACTAATAATTAGCAATTCTTCTAAGCCGCGTAACTTAACCAATCAAATATATACACTTTGCTGGCCGGCTAGGTGATAAGTTGACGGCGCCGCCGCCACGTTCTGCCGGACCGGACCTCATTAACTCATCAATCTCTTCTATATATATATATACACTTGATCAACCAATACCGCGCACGCCGGTGTCGGTCCGGCACACGGGGCAGTCGGAGTGCTGGAACAGCCACGTGTCGATACATCCGGCGTGGAAAATGTGCAAGCACTCCGGCAGCACGCGGACGGGCTCCCCGACGGCGAACTGCGCCAGGCAGACTGCGCACGTGCCGTAATCCTCCGTCTTGGCGCACGTGCCGACGTCGTCGCTGTACTGGCACGTGGGGATGAGGTGGTCCACCGACGAGAACTGCTCCACGCTGGCGTCGCTGAAGTTCATGACCGTGCGGAGCGGGACCGGCGGCGGCGTATGGCCTGGCGCGTCGTCGTCAACGGCGGCTCCCCCGCGCGTGGCGGCGTTGTAGTGGCACCATAGGTAGGCTAGGAGGCGGTAGATGAGGAGGCCGGCGGTGGCGGTTATGACGCCGACGACGGCGATGGTGAGGGCCGGGAGGCCGAGGAGGCGGTGGCCGCCGCCGACTGGCATGGGGACCGGTCGGAGACGGTAGACTTGTGATCTGATTCTTTTTTTTGGATATGTATGTAGTCTGGCTGATATGTTGAAACCGATCGAGCTTTTCTGCATCAAGAGGTGAATATACTTTTTATATGAATGATGATTGATGATGATTCTTATTAAACGTACCAACTGGCCTAGTTTGTTTATAAGGAATTCATGCAAAAGGACTAATCGTTACTTGGTAGAAATGGCAATGGTGGGTTGGTGCTATGGTGCAAATGAGTGAAATTGCTAACGAGTGGTTTGTCTTCGATGAGGGAAATTTTTTGTTTGATACTGTTGGGGGTGTTGCTAAGATACTTCCCGCAGAAACTAAGTAATACCGCGTCCAATCGACAACGTATGACGCTCTAAACCTGCTACGAGTATATAAAGGTATGAAACCCACTAAGGAAAAGGACTTCCTCTCTCTCATGACTTTCCACTTTCTACTATCTCTCTACACTTTATCTCTCTATCTATTCTCTCAACTCTCTCCACAAACATACACTGACTTGATCGTCAAAACTTAATCCGCGGGCAACCCCGACTCTTTCACAGGTTTCTTCCCTCCCGGCGAGATCAGACGAACGGATGACGAGTCGACCCACACAACAAATATCATTGTTCGTGTCTTGAGCTAGATGACACAAACAGATACCTACTCGACGAGTTGAGATTGAATTAAACCTTATTCTACTTGTAAGGATCGGGAGCCAAACTATGAAATAGAAAGCTAAATTATTTGAGAAATTAAATGAGGTTATCACTTAATTAAAACTTTATTCCAACTAAAACACGAATAGAGAATGATACAAATCAGGTCAAGTAAAAAACTCATGTCCACCACGCTGATTGGTATTACCAAATACATATATTATTTCATGCAATTGGGATTGGATTTCATGAGTTATTTAATATTAGAGATTATGGGGTTGAGATCATTATGTACCGAAAATATCGATCAACACTGAAAAATAAGCTAGTATATGTATTTTATCCCTCTCAGTGTTGCTGTCTCGGTTAGAGTTAGCTTATTTTGCCTTTATAGGTTCGCTTGTTAGTTGGGGTAGGGAGGGATTGTAGGTAGTGCTTGTTCTAACTATCTTCTTGATCTTACTCGGAAAAAAAAAGACTCCTACACTCACTACTACCATACCCTGAACCGCCAAAATGACCATATAATTAGCGAGTTGATAAAGGTCGTCCTAACAATTACTAATGATCGTCCTAAAAAACAACAAAGTTACACTTTTAACCTTTTAACATCTTTACCTTTCCTTTAGCAAACAAACACCACCTTCACTTAGAAAGCAAAAAACACTCATTCTCCCACACTCTCGAATTCATCATCGACATTTGGAAGCCGAAATCGTCGAGCATACGTCCGAACAATGAGTAGCGACTCCGACGAGGTAAAAATCTCGTTTTATAAAAAAAAAACCAAAAATTCTCAACCGAATGTGATTTTCGGTTGGTCCATGGTTCAACCGAAAATTGGTTTCGGTTGAACCATGGACCAACCGAAAATCACATTCGGTTGAGCCATGGATGAACCGAAAATCTGCTTCGTTTGGCCCATGGGTGAAACGAAAATTGGTTTCGGTTGGTCCACGGTAGAACCAAACCCTGCCTTCGGTTAGGCCATGGTGAAACCGAAAATTGGCTTCGGTTTAGCCATGGTGGAACTGAAAATTTGCTTCTATTGGTGGCTTTTGGATTTTTTTAAGTTTATATCAAATATTTCTATTTTTTTGTTATGATTTATAGTTTGGTCTATATGAGGATTATTGACACAAATATTGTTTTTTTTTTAATTTACCACCAATATGGCGGATTAAGAAGTATTTACAAAGATATTGTGTTTTTAGCATAGTTTCAGGTGCTGGCGCCTTAGACTAAGGCGCCCACACCTTAGACTTTTTATTCTAACAGGCCTAGGTGCCGGCGCCCGAGACTAAGGCGCCGCCACCCCACTCCTTTTTATTTTAAAAAACCCGCCCACCCCACCCACCCAGCCCTTATCTCTTTCTTTCCTTCCTCCTCCTCCACACAAACCCTCCCTCCTTCCTTCCCCTCTCCCGACAGCCGACCCTCCTTCCTTCCCCTCTCCCGACAGCCTCCTCCCCCTTCCACCACCCCTTCTCTTCCCCTCCCGACCTCCTCCGCCGTCGAGACCCACAGCCACCAGGACGAGACCGCCCCAGTCCAAGGCGCCGCCGCCGCTCTGTCAGGTCCCGCCGCCCCAGAGCCGGGAACCGCCGCCGCTCTGCCAGGCACCGCCGCCGCTGATAAAAGCGAGAGCGCCGCAGTGCTGGGCGCCGCCGCCTCTGCTCTAAGCGCCGCCGCCCCGGTTCGTGTTGCCGCCGCCCCACAGTTCATCGCCGCCGCAGCCAGCAGCAGCGCCGCCGCCCGGAGATGTCCTCCGATGAAGAAGACGCCGCCGGCAGAGGCAGGGGGAGAGGCCGGCGAGGTCGTGGCAGCCGTTTGCGCGGTGAGACTCTCGTCGGCGGCTTGAATGTTTTTTTTAATGGTTTGTGTTTTTTTTAATGATTTGTCGCTTTGTTTTTGCAGTTCCTAGGCTTATGGATCCGTATTCGATGAGATTACCGCCGGCGACAATTGATACAGGTCCGGTCGATGCGACACTTCTTTGGGGACATGGCCAACATCGTATCGACTCTGTTTGGACAAACGAGGTAAGTATTTGATAATTATTCATGTAAAGTTAATTAGCTAATTAGATTATTTTAGTTGGTGAACTGAACTGTACTGTTAGAGAATAGGATTACGTATTAGATTTTTTGAAATTAGTATAATTTGATATTAGATTAGATAGATTAGAATTAATTAGGTGAAATTAGAATTATTACGAATGATTCTAATTAGATTATTTTAGTTGGTGAACTGAACTGTACTGTTAGAGAATAGGATTACAGATTAGAATTAATTAGGTGAAATTAGAATTATTACGAATGAAGATGAATTAATATAAGTTTTGTGCACTATAGGCTGGTGATCGATCTTACCATGTTCGAGGTACGACCATTTTAGTACCTTACCACGAGCTTTATCGGCCATATCTCGAAGCGGCAGGCTTGTTAAGTGTCGTGCCCCTAGTCCCTATGAACCCCGATGCGAGTTTGATTACTGCGCTCGTAGAGCGGTGGCGACCCGAGACGTCGACCTTCCATCTACCGTGTGGTGAGATCACGATCACGTTAGAGGACGTTGTTACACTGTCCGGTTTGGCGATCGACGGTGATGCCGTCGTAGTTGATATACCGGATGAGGAGTGGTCGGCGATCTGTTTGCGACTGTTAGGACGGGTTCCTTATGATCTTGTAGGCGGGGTCGCTGTTGTTAGGATTACATGGCTGAGGGTTGAATTCAGCCATCTATACAAGGTCCATAAGCCCAGAATACTCGCTGAAATATCAAATGACCTGGTTGAGTCGAAGGAACTCTTACCCAATCAATCACCGATGTTGGCATTTTTCTCTTGACTACTCGCAAGAATGTCTGCAAAAAATTGTAGGATTCTTCCCAATTTCCATGCAACTTCTCAAATGCTCTTTGTTTCCCATACCAAGCCTTCTTGTAAGTAACTTGCATATTAAACTTATCTTTCAACTCAGCTTGCACAGTTAGAACACTCAGATTTGGTTGGGCACGTACCAAATGTTTGACGGCCTCATATATCATGTCGACATCAAGATGGCGATGATCCGTCGGTTGAGCCGTACTGCTACAAGAATGCACCAACTCAGCCTTTCTCACAGTCCATTCGCCTCCAGCATCTCGACATCCAAACCGCACCATCCAAGGACAATTGTCATCCTTGTGCCTCAAGCATCTGACCTTCCAGATTGAAGGTGACGACTCCACCACGCCATATTGAAAGTTGCGTTGTAGTGCGTGGTGTTTAATCGCCATCTGTGCAGCTTGTTTCGAGTGAAATATCTGCCCCTTGTAGAATTCTCCTTCAAAACTATCAACAATATGCATTGGAATTACGCCATATGAATCAACCAGTGAGTATTCTTCGTCCTCTTCATTACCCTGCAAGTAAAAATATGGAGGATAATTAGGAACTTCTTCCCCCTCTTCCTCCTCCTCCTCCTCCTCATCTTCCTCCTCTCCGTCATCACCGTCATCATAGGCATGATCGGATGGCACGCTCCATGTATCATCTTCTACCTCTCCACCCTGATCCTCACTGAGCTCAACATGTATCTCAGCACCCAAACAATAAGGATTTTGTGTCATAAAATTCCAAAGCACATTCAAGCTATCATCATCCACAATAGGCATTGCATAATGAAATAAAACACCATTCTGCCATTCTGGAAGACGGTAAATGAAACTTGTGATCACATTACTATCTTGTACTGATTCGTCTCTACGCCGTATTCTCAGAATTAGATTCTCACAAAGATAATGATATGTGACCCTGGATGGAATCGTCATCTGAAAACTACTACCACCAACGAATTTGACGCCCAAATTATCTTCTACTTTCTCCGATTTCCATCGAACGACTAGTTCAAATCTTCTAAAATCACTACAAAAAAACAGACTCACTAATTAAAACTAAACACAATCATAATAACATTTGAATAATATAATTACAAAAATAAATGCGTCTCTTACCTATTAGCCATTTTTGCAGCAGCAACCAGAGCTCCAAAGCTCCTTTGTTTTGAACGATTTTTTTGTGGTGTGAAACTGAAATGAAATTGGCTGGGTTTATATAGGGGGAAGGCCACCTAACTCGCTGATGACTCAGGCGCCGCCACTCTAGTCTCGGGCGCCGCCACCTGGGACAGATTCCCACCTAACACGCTGGAGTCACAGGCGGTCCCGCCTGAGTCTTCGGCGCCGCCGCCGTCACTTATTCCAAAATATCATCCATAGCGGCGGCGCCTGAGTCCCAGGTGTTGTCGCCATTTGTTGTCTCCAAAACACAATATCTATGTAAATACTTCTTAATCCGCCATATTGGTGGTAAATTAAAAAAAAAACAATATTTGTGTCATTAAACCCTCTATATGATTGTTTGTTGAATTTTAGATTATATTATTTTTAAAATTTATGAGCCTAATTATTTGTGAAATTGAATGTTTTTGTATACAAAATTAAGATTATATGTATAATAGGCAATAAAAAAATTCTAGAATGTGATTAATATGATTCTTATGTAAATGATAGAGAATGCTAAATTCTGTCATGTTAAATGTTTGATTTTGCTTAGGAGAATATTCAGAATGCTAAATTATTTATGATAATTGTTAAATTAAATGTAGTCGTTAGATTTTCTATTATTGTGGAGTCCTACTTATATCATGAGATCTAACATTGTAGGATATTGATGATTATGGAGGGGATGGCAAAGATTACACCTCAGAATTCGTCAATGGAGTAAAATACGATACGGATTTGATTGCATATGCAGCAGCTACTGAGATTGCCAAGGGTTTTGGGTTTTATTTGGTGAAAGCATCAAATAAAAAAAATCCAAATGAAGATAGTTTGCGACGATACTTGAAGTGCACTCATGGTAGGAAGAAAAAATCGAAGGCTCCTGATTCTGATCCGGCTAAGGAAAGGAGGCCTCTTACTTCTTCTGGAAAGTTGGGGTGTGAATTTCATATCAAGATTGAGCGGTCAGATGATGGATATTGGTTGATACTAGCAGTGGCTAATACAAAGAATCCTGGTGCTAATTTGGGTTTTCACAATCATCCGCTGGAGCTATTTCCGAATGGATCAAGTAAGAGGAATGTTTTGACCGAAGATGATAAGCAATACATCAGACAACTGAGATTAGCCGGTGTCGCCCCAAGTAATATCCACAAGGCAGTGAACGAGAGAAAAGAGGAGCATGGAAAGGTGAACAAAAGACAGATTTCTAACGAGACTCTTATCCACAAAAAGTGTGGATCCCAACAACACAAACAAGTAAGTCTGCACCTCCAGGTCCCTAATCTTCATTTCTCGTCCACGCACCAACAATCCCTCTGCGTGTATACCACCATTAAGGAACCACTTCGACTTCCACTTACCACCAACAGGACCATCCACCGGGACCCGAACTAGATCATGCATGTCTAACTTAAGAACATCTGGATGCGGATCATCTCTCATCAGCTCCCCCTCAACTGGAATACGAAGAATGTGATGCACGTCGTGGAGAAGAATCGACATCTCTCCAAATGGCATATGGAAGGTGTTCGTGTCCGGCTGCCATCTCTCCACAAATGCCGTTATCAAAGCTATATCTAAATGCTGCATCATACACCCTGCCAAGTGGGACAATCCTGTGCCCTCAACCACCTTCTGAAAACCCTCTGAACTCCACTCATATCTCCTCTAAGACTCCACACTACCAGATCTATGACAACAATCCAACAACCCACTATCCCGCGCTGGGGAAGTCCACAATGCAAAGGCAATGTGACCTCCAAAGCTAGGGATCACATCGGGAATCACAGGTCCACCTGAACACATCTGAGACTCCGATGTCAGGCGCCACGACATGTCCCCCCTCACTCCCTTCTTCCTCTTCTTACCATCACCGTCTTCCTCACTACTACGTCTCGCAACGTAGCGTCCATCTAGCCCACGCTGTGGAAAGTGCGAAGAAGCTGTAGAAGATGTCCCAACTCGTCTCTTCTTATCGATGCCTACATCACATTCAGGTGGGACATCCCCAACCTCATCAACAGCCACATCATCATCAACATCATCACCATCGTCGTCGTCAATAGAAACTGAATCACTCCAATTAGCCTCCCACGGCGTCGCATCCTCAGGAGTGGGGGTGGAGGTAGTAGCTCGACTAAGAGACAACTGTCCCATAGTAGGGCGACCGTCGGGACGCCCTATTTCCGCCTTCTTCTTCTTCCCCTTAACCTTACGTGGATTTTTTTCTTCATTTTCTTTTCTACCGGTCGTTGTAAGTCTACAAGCATGACCTTCCATTCTTCCTTCCGTTTTTTCTTCCATTCTTTTCTTATTCATGTACGGTTTGCCTATTCCATGTCCATACATCTTCAAAAAAAAAAAAAAAATTACAATTAATGATAATCAAATGCATTAACATTTTCTGATAATTTTCTCTAATTTGTTTGTAATTTTTTGATAATTTATTAACATTAATTACAACTTACTTAGTCTTTTTTCTAAATTTCGACTACTTTTTAATTTTCCCATTATTCTAATATTTTTTTAACATTAATTACAAATTTACAGATTATATTTCTAAATTTTGATACTTTTTAAAAATTTCAGATAATTTTTAATAATTTTTACTACATATTCACAATATTTTTTTCATAATTGAATGCATAAAACTATTCGAATATAATTTTTATAATTAACTACAATTATTTATAATTATTACTTAATTTACAATATTTAATAACAATTTTTATTAATTAATTGCATTAAAATTAATTAAAATCAAACCAACCAAAAATTGAATTCGGTTTAACCATGGTTCAACCGAAAGTTGACTTCGGTTTGACCATGGCCCAACCGAATGTTGACCTCAGTTTGCCCGAAGGCCAACAGAACGGCGGCTTCGGTCGTGGGCGACGACGCGTCGTTGAAGGCGAGGAGTGAGACTGACCTTCTCCGACGAGGTTGGACGGCAGGCGAGTGGAGGCGTGGCGGACGGCGACGGTGAGTGGAGGCGCGGCGGACGGCGAGGACGAGTGGAGGCGCGGCAAGCGGCTGAGGACGAGTCGGCTGACGGGGGAGCGGCTGACGGCTGACGGGAAGCGGCTGACGGCGACGGGAAGCTCTGCCGGTGGGTAAGCGGGTCGCCGGCGAAGCTGCTGGCCGGCGCAGCGTCTCTGCTGCTGGGAGTCGGGTAGAGGAAGGTGATTGGTTGGGAAGGGGAGTGTTTGGGAAGGGGTGTGTAGGGTTTGATTTTGAATTTTAAAAAGGGTAATTCAGTAATTTACGTATTAAGTTAGGACGACGATTAGTAATTTCTAGGACGACCTTTAACCCTTCAGTATAATTATATATATAGCTCATTCTCATCATATTTGATAACTCATACTAAGCTCATTCTATTACTTAAAGTATGTTTATGAGTTGCTTAGTCATCCTCTATTTCATTTTATTGTTTTAGTTTGTTAATGTGCTTCTTACTCACCCCATTTTCATAGCTTGTTGTTATTAAACTTGATATTTTCTCTCATTTGTTTGCACGAGTTTTGGCATCGTTGTTTACTTTTATATATTTGGAGAATGATTTGTGGAGCAGCTATGAGAATTATTTGCTTTTATATATTCAATTGATAATTTTGAAGGAGATTAATTTGGTATTTCGTATATACCGAGCCAAAAATTATACAAAGGATTAAGATACTAAATTTATGATTAATTGAATTTAGAACATTATTTAGTATTCACCTACGAGCAAGTAATACCTATCTCAAAACAGGTTAGACAAGTTTGTTGTGTGAGTGTCCAAAACTAGAGCTGCAAATAAGTCGAGCCGAGTTTTGCCCTAGTTTGACCTCGGCTCGCTAACAAACGAGTTGAGCTTGAGCTCGGCTCGTTAATAAACGAGTCGAGTCTAGTCCGAGCTAGCTTGCTTACTAAAATCTTGACTCGTATTTGATATATTTATTTTGTATGATACATGTAATTAATGTCAAGATAAAAATAATAATAATAGTTAAGTGTTCAATATTAACTAATCTCATGTTATACTTTGTGGTATCATATTATTTAGTTAATAAATTTTAACTAGTCAATATTATGTTATTTCATAGTATCGAATACATAATTTCTTTTACAAATTAAATAAGCCATATTTGCTCACATAATCTACGTGTTAAACTTCATGTAGGGTACCAAAGGTAAGATAGCCTAACGGTAAAACTGTTGCGACAGTGAAGGGTTAGGAGTTGCAGATCCCAGGTTCAACTCCAAGCGTGGCCCGTTGGTGTTCCCGTTGGTAAAAGGCTGCTGGGGTCAAAGCTCCGTTGGCGTCAAATTTGATTGCTGGTGGCCCCTAGGGTTAGTAGGACCCGCTCTCACAAAGTGGCACGTGGGGCTGAGGTTCCTGGGTAATAAAAAAAAACTTCATGTAGGGTGAGATATATAATTTAACAATCCTATAAATTATCAAAATTACACTCATATAGATCGATTCGCCAACCAAGTTGGCTCTCTAGCCACAATGTTGAGAGTTAAGACATCTCATTAGCTCTAAACGAGACAGCTCACGAGTTGACCTCAACAAACCACCAGATCAAACTTTTTCCGAGTCGAAAGTCGAACCGCTCGGCTCGACTCATTTGCAGTCCTATCCACGAGTCAAACAAATGAGTAGCACTAGTGAGGTGAAATTATCAGCCCAAAATCAATCGGGTGATACAAAGTGGGATGACCCTTGTAGAAAGGATCGTAAAAACCCAGCCCAAAACCAATTCGGACCCACAAACAGAAGTAACCAGAGAAACTCAGCCCGGCCCAATTGAACAGCTTTATTTTTATCTTCTTATACTCCCTGAAAGTATTTATTCTTCCAACGCATGAACTCTTTTAAAATTCCTCCTCGCAACAAATTTCAAAGCAACAGCCCATTCTCACCCCTTCCCTTTCGGGTCCGGATAGTATAACAACAGTCTAATTGTTGTTATTATAACAACATGATTCATTAAGGGCAAAACTGGAAACTTACAATAAAAATAATAAAAATAAAAAATAACCCTCATGTACGCGTTTCCTCCTCCGCTCTGTTCTCCATCGCTGTCGTTCTCCTCCGGCTGCATACGAGATCCCCAAATTCCAACTCCAAATTCCAACTCTCCTCCGACGGAGAAACCCTACTCCGGCGCCGGCGAATGTCAAGTACACAGAGACCAATACTTCTCCAACGACTTCGATATGGCTGGATCTCCATCACTTACAGGGCCGATTCTTCTCCAACGACTTTAATCTGGGCTAGATCTCCTCGCAACAACCAGAATGATTTCGCTCTTCCAGTGGCGGCAGGGACGACGATTGTGGTGAGAGTCATAGCGGATTGACGATTGAAATTATATTTACGCGAAGATGTCAACCGACAGCGACGACGAAGACGAGCTCCTTCAGATGGCGCTGAAGGAGCAATCCCACCGGGATCTCAATTACCAGCGCCCGTCGTCGTCCTCCAATCAACGGAAGCCGGTCTCGAATTTCGTCCAGGCTCCCAAAACCGCCGGTTCCGCGAGGTCGGCGGCCCCGACTCATCGCCACCAGAAGAGCAGGGGTTCCACCCTGGACGACGACGACGACTCCGAAGTCGAAATGCTCAGCATATCGAGCGGTGACGAGGAAGTGAGCAAGGACCGGCCGCCGGCCAAAGGGAGAGCCGGCGGCGGTGGAGCCGGAAGGGGAGGGAAAGACGACGACGGGTGGGATGGCGGGGAGCCTGATTGCTGGAAGCGAGTGGACGAGGCCGAGGTAATGTGTATCTCTAGCTCGCTTTCCTGGATGCCTGTGGTTTCTTTTCTGTTTGCGGACTGCTAGACTTCTACTGGCAATGGAGCGTTTTCTGTGAGAATTTAGAGTGTGAATTGGAATCAAAGCCTGTGTGTTATTGTCTAGTTTGTCGAGAGTTACGTGCTACTGGAGCATGATCATGTATTTATGGATTTTGTATGACATATGAAAAAATACCATAATTTTCTGGATACAAACCACGAACACAGTAAAACAATCCAAAAAAGCATACAGTAAGCCTCTTAATGCAGACCACAAGTCTTCTAAAATAAACTAGTAACCTCACAAAACAAACCACAAATATTTCTAATGCACACCAGAAACCTTCTAATGCAGACAATAAATACGATAAAACAAACCACACAAACCAAACTAGAAACCTCCTAATGCATACCACAAATCTCCTAAAACAAACCACAAACCTCACAAAGCAAACCACAATATTTGTGAAAGCACACCAGACACCTCCTAATGCAAACCAAAAACGTCCTAATGCAGACCACAAATATATTAAAACAAATCAGAAACATCGCAAAACAAACCACAAAAGATTCGAAAGCACACCAGGAACTTCTTAATGCAAACCAGAAACCTTCTAATGCATACCACAAATCTCCTAAAACAAACCACAAACCTCACAAAACAAACCACAACATTTGCGAAGAACACCAGAAACCTTATAATGCAAACCACAAACACGTTAAAGCAAACCACAAAAACAAACCAGAAACCTCCTAATGCATACCACAAATCTCCTAAAACAAACCACAAACCCCTCAATGCAAACCACAAAGTTTTTGAAAGCAAACCAGAAACTTCTCAATGCAAACCACAAACATGATAAAGCAAACCAGAAACTTCTTAATGCAAACCACAAACACGATAAACCAAACCACAAAAGACATACAAAAATATGAGAAACCAAACCATAAATCTCACAATCAGACTATAACATCCGGTGGTCGTTGGCCGTTGACCGGTCAGCGAAGACCGTTGACCGGTCAACGAAAATCGTTGACCAAACTCCGATGACCGTCAGTTACCAGATTCCGGCGCCGATAGGGCATATTCCGGCCCCGATGACTAGATTCCGATGCCGGTAAGCATATTCCGACGCCGGTAAGCATATTCCGGCGACAGTGAGCATATTCCGATGACAAAATAGCATATTCCGGTGACGAAAAGCATATTCCGGTGACGGGCAACCATTTTCCGGCGATCGGTGACAGAATTCCGGCGACCAAATTTTTGACCGAAAAAATAAAAAAATATTTTTTTTATTTTTTTATTATTTAAATATATTTTTCATAATGACAAGTATACCCCTGCTTTGATTTTACACTAGGTCAACTCATCTAATAAAAAGTCATCACAACCCTAGCTTCCTATTGGTTGGAGACTAGTGTTGTTACAGTAACAACACAATGAGTGTGTTGTTATAGTAACCGGTCCCTTCCCTTTCTTCCTCATTGCTTAATCTAGAAACCCCTAACTCCACCACTGAAAAAAATGGCCGCCGCCGCACCTCCACCGCCGCCAACCCCGACTCCCAATCCCCCCACCGACCTGCCGCAGTCCGATTCCGCCACCCCATTCTCCCTCACGCTCTTCTCCCGCATCCGGCTCGCCACCCCGGCCGACGTCCCCCACATCCACAAGCTCATCAACCAAATGGCCGTCTTCGAGAAGCTCACCCACATCTGCTCCGCCACCGAATCCGGCCTCTCCTCCACCCTCTTCAACTCGCCTCCTTTCCAGTCCTTCACCGTCTTCCTCCTCGAAATCTCCCACTCTCCATTCTTCAACCCCCCACCTCCTTCTGGCAGTGGGTTCGCTCCAATCGACCGGATCGTCAGCTTGGAGCTTCCCCTGGTCGACCCGGAAGCCGAATCGTTCAAGAGCGGCAGCAACGGTGCCGAGAACGAAGTCGTGGTTGCTGGGTTCGTGCTGTTTTTCCCCAATTACTCCACTTTCTTGGCGAAGCCGGGGTTCTATGTGGAGGATTTGTTCGTGAGGGAGTGTTACAGGAGGAAAGGGTTTGGCAGGATGCTGCTGTCTGCGGTGGCGGCACAGGCCGTGAAGTTGGGTTACGGGAGGGTCGAATGGGTCGTGCTTGATTGGAATGTGAACGCCATTAAGTTCTACGAAAAGATGGGCGCGAAAGTGTTGCCTGAGTGGAGGATTTGCAGGTTAACTGGCGATCAACTTGAAGCATATCGCGATGCTATGTAGAATGGTTGAGTGATTTTGTATTACTACTGTTGTTACTGCTTATTTATTAGGTCCTTTATTTCCTTGTAAGAGTCTCTTTTACTGCAATCTGCTGCTGAATTAATGAAATCCTGCTGTTTCTGTGCAATTTTCTGAGTTGCCCTGTTTATTTTGGATACTCATTTTGCCTTGTGAATGGAGCGATCATAATGTGCTTCATTGGGATATCTGAGCTAGAAAGAAGTTTCATAATTGATAAGGTAGACAACCTGTAGATGAAAGACTTGTCCTGTAACTCTGCAACTTTTATTTCATCTTTATTTATGTGACAATGTCTAGATGCTCGAAGCTCGGTACAATCAGGGCAATAAGCTCCCGATTTTCAGTTTGTGGGGTTTGATCTAACCCTCTACTGAGTGTCATATTTGGGTAAATAGTGACACTGGAAACTCCAAAACCTGCAAGTTCTCTCTGGCAGAGACTTCGCCGAGTGAGTTTGGAGGGTAACAGTACCTATGGTCCATGACCTTATTGTGTTTCTAGTGAAACACCAGGAGAAGTGGAAAAGGACAAGCCAAAAAGGAAAAAAGTAGTAGTAGATTACACATAAACTTCAGAGTCCAGCCCTCGTCTTCGACGGTCGAAACAAGGCTGCCATTGGTACATGTACACTAGCATGAGTTGGTTGTCTGTAACTGGATGAAGAAGCCAAGTCGTTCCAGTTAGAAACGATGATGAATCAGACATGCTTCTTGATAGCTTTAGCATATCCAGTTTGTTCATCATAGAACTTGGACCAGAGCATAACACCCCCATACTTCTGAGAACTCTTGATTGCAGGAAGCACAGTGGAGATCAGCTCATGAGGAGGGATGAAACCGCTACCAGCTGCCTCCTGTGCAGCAGGCAATCCCAAGAAGATCTTCTTGGCATGACCTGAAGAAGTCCATTGATCCCAAGCATTTTGAAGACCATCAATGCTCCCACCAGAGTACTGGCAGGGAGGGTTGTTGTAGAATTGCACCCAGAGATAATCAAACAGTCCCGTGCTAATGGCTCTCCCAATCCAGGCATCAGGATATGGACATTGTGGAGCTCCAGTTATGTACACTTTCTTCTGGCCATCATTGCTGTGATGTTTCAGGAACCTGGCTAGATCACCCCAGTAATGGGTGGTCCCACCTTCAATGTCGAAGTCAATCCCATCAAGAACTGCATGACCCAGTGGCCTTGCAGAGGAATGACCCCCCAAGAAGTGATCCCAAAGGTAAGTTGCAACTTGCCTTGCATCGTCTGTACCTGTGAGTGAGTAACTACCAACTCCACCTCCAAGGGAGAGCAGGACTTTAATCCCTTTCTCTTGACATGATTTGATCTCGGAGCTGAGGCCTTTGCAGCCACCATTTGTTGGGTCGCAATGGCCTGCAAGGTTGATGGTTGGAGTTTGGCCGTTGCCAAATGTTGGCAGGAAAGCTACGATTACAAATCTATAGTCTCCAGTTGCACAGGTCTCTTCCAACCCAGCTTCACCTCCGTTCTGACCCCAGTAGATTGCTATGCTTCCAGCTTCGGAAACTTTGAACATTGCCATTATGATTGCTGACAATACTAGAAGTGGTAGTGCTGAGAGCGCTGCCCTGAAAGCCACCATCCTGCTTAGAGAAATGAACAATCGATCGCTTTCTGTTGCTTGAATTGAGTTGCGCAAGTAAATTTTCTCTGTGATTTCTGAACTTTCCCAGGACCTGCTAGCTTTTATAGTGTGGTTTCAAGATCATAGCGACAACATAAAGACCCAACAGTTCATTTCTTTAATCTCTCGCAGAGGATGGACTCCAATGGAAACTTACTTTTCATGTCTTTGTTTTTTCTTTACCAGGTCGAGTTAAAATCTATTACATATGACGTCCCAGAGGAAGGACGAGCAGAACACAACAAACCACATGTGTGGCAATCCAAGTTGGTTGAGTCTCCTGGTAAAGTCGAAGTGTGTTCACTCCGAGTGCCATCTAACATGTCATTCAGCGACTGCAAAACTGTAACCTTACCAGAGGTTAAATTGGTAAGACTAATTCGTCGCATAGTAATGTGCTCTTTAACAAGTGAATCAATCAGCAGAAGTTATGAGTATGATACAGACATACAGTTTCACAAACACTGGTGTTGTAACTAATTTGTTTGTTTCCACAAGAACAAACAATTAAATCCAGTGTTTTGAGCAGTTAATTTATAGAACTTGGTGGAAGTCATACGGCTCAAAATGCTTGTCGTTATTGAAAGTCAGCAAATTTGAGTTTGCATTGCATGAATTCGTTGGAGACATCATGGCCTTGGAATTGCTGTTAACACAAAACTAGAAAGACTTGAGATGGTGATGGGAATCTTTCTTCTGCTGATAAATATTAATATAATAATGTGTGCAATGAACAGATGCTTTCTGATTCGGACGGCACATAGCAGCCTAAGTGATGATCTGAAGGAAAGAACGGTATCAGATTCTTCTGGTTCGGTTGGCTAGCAATCAGTCAAGCACATAATATCAAGAACAAGAGATCATTTACCACAGCAAGAAACATTTTTACATACAAGTATGGAAACACTCGATAAATACATTCGGACAAAGTGCATTCTCACAAACTATTCACATAAGGGTAGTAAATGTGTGTTGATGACTCGAAGGGATGAGCTCAAACACGTAACTTAGACTGAGTTCTTAATGGATTTGCTGTAGCCAGTTTGATCATCATAGTACTTGGACCACAGCATGACACCACCATACTTGTAACTGTTCTTGATTGCAGGTAGCACCTGAGACTCGAGGTCGTTCACAGGGATGAATCCGCTCCCAGCTGCATCGGGAGCAGCAGGCAGTCCCAGGAAGATCTTCTTAGCAGGAATGGCTGAAGTCCATTGCTTCCAAGCTTCTTCAAGGTTTTTGACGCTCCCAGGAGAGTACTGGCAAGGAGCATTGTTGTAGAACTGAACCCAAACATAGTCAAACAGTCCACTCTCAAGTGCACTACCTATCCAAGCATCAGGGAATGGGCACTGTGGAGCTGCTGTCAGTACGATCTTTTCGTCGTGGGCTTTCAAAAACTTTGCTAAATCATCCCAGTGCTGGTTCGTTCCCCCTTCAATGTCGAAGTCAACCCCATCGAGCACAGCCGGACCAAAAGGTCTGGCAGATGAAGAACCTCCGAAGAAGTTGTCCCATAGATAAGTGGCAACCTGCTCTGCATCTTGTTTGGATGCAAGGTAGTAACCTCCAGCTCCTCCGCCGATTGACAGCAGGACCTTGACCCCTTTAGCTTGACATGACTTGATGTCAGAAGTCAGACCAGCACAGCCACTGTTGGTTGGATCACAGTGACCTGCAAGGTTGATCACCGGTGGCTGCCCGTTGCCAAATGCAGACAGAAAAGCTATGTTGACATAGTGATAGTTGCCTGTGGCGCAAGTCTCGGCCAAGGTGCCCTCGTTCCCATTCTGTCCCCAGTATATTGAAATTCCACCACCTGCTTCACAACCCATCACCAGAACTGCAGCCAAGATTGCTGATATCATCGTGGCTGCCCTGAATGCCATCATCTTTTCTCTTTGTTGCTGCTGCTCTTGTTTTGCAAAATTTAGCCTGTCCAGTGTAGATGTTTTCCTTTAGAAAAGTTCGGTGTGTTTTGGTAGATACAAGTTGGGATCTTCCTTTTTTATAGGCAACAGAGTAGGAACCCTCCTTTGAGTTTATCTGTTTGAATGCTGATGATAATATTCTTATTCATTCCTACCATTGCAGGTGACTGCGTGGAGTAGCAGCAGCTTTGCAGAGTTATGCAGCTTAGAAATGAATGGACCTTAACCAACGTTGCTGCTACTGCATAATAATATTAGCTTATGGAGCTAAAATTCCTTCAGAAACAGGTGACAATAATAAAAGGGTCATGGGTGGATTCCCTTTTCATTTGTAAGAGAATAAATAAACCAACTGGATTGGACGACTCTATTGGCTTGTTTGCAATCTAGGACTTTCCTTCTCTTAAAACATGGACAATTGTGACCAACATGGTTACAAATTACAATAATTTCTTTCCGGATTATGACCAATATACGAATATGTCTCGTAACTTTTGCTATCAGATCAAATTCGTAGCTAATACTACCACAAATTGCAGCCAAAACATATATTGGTTGCGAAAAGTTGTTATTATCGTATCGGATTGGTGTATCCGGTTGAACAAATAACTAGCTTCTTGATCAAATACACGTTAGTTCTATAATTTGGTTCAGTTCGACAACTTCTAATAGGCGTCCACTGATTGAATCGAATGGAATGGCACCAGTATGATAAAGTTATTCAAATACCCTGTTGTTTTTAAGATTAGTGTTTGTCCCAAAGCTTCAGGACATTGAGATACAGAATGAAGTTAGGGCTGCAGTCTACACTATTGACCTTGGCCATCCATAACAGCAGAAACAAAGAGCAAGTCTTGCCATAGATTGATAGACATCCACTTGCAATACCAAATTACCACATCATTCATAAAAAAGAGAACACAATTGTTCCATCGTGATTAAACTTCACTGAAAGCTTTAACATTTGTTCTTAAGACGCGCGGAATCGCACGGCTGAAGAATCTGCAAATCAGGAAACTACATGAAAACACCCTCAAAGCAGCCATATCAGTGCAACCAAGTCGATCAATTGAATTATTAGAGAGGAACAAAGCGACTCTCTATTCATCGACAGAGCATCCATGTTGTTCCAGTAAAAAAAAAAAAAAGAGAACGAACAAAAGGGTTACATCCCAAACTAAAACTTCAGGCTCACAACAAGTCCAGGAAGGCAAAATGAAGCAGCAGCTCAAACCAGAGGACACGATTCTGCCACCTTGTTATTTTGTTGTTGATGATGCGGAATCTGGCAGTTTCTTCTGGTCTCGTTTAACAAGCCAATCCTGCAATCGATGGGCAAAGACAAGTTCTTTCTTTCAGGCAAAATCACAAACACTTAGCACCACGCCCAGAAAAATACAGATTTCCTAATCAACGTATCATATCTCCTGCCCAGGTTTAATGAAACGAATCAGTATTTGCTGACAATTAGAACAATCTCCGAGTTACAGATTGGGCAGACAAACTCATCGCGTCAAATCAGATCGAATTGACGATTACCGGAGGCAGCAAAACCAATGGAAACTTTCAAAAAGCTACATCTAGGGTTTGTAAATCGTAAGGAAGTAAGCGGAAAAAGGAGGATGGGAAGAGAGAATTTTACATTCTCGATGAACAGGTAGTTGGCGACGATCGTGGCTCCGACAACACCGCCGATTATCGACGTCGGACCCGTCAGCAGACTCCACCTTCTGTAGATCATCTTCTTTCAGTCGTAACTCGTATGATAGAGAGGAAGAGAAGAGAGGGCGATGAAGAAATTTTCAGTTCTTAAAATACCAATCTGGTTCCCAATCCGTTCAAGGGTATTTTTGTTAAATTCCATATCAATCCTCTTGAAAACCAACGATTTCGTACTAGTCCTTCAAAGATTGACCAATAGCATTTTGATCCCAAACTTTGACAGCACATGTGCATATGGAAGAGAAGATGGAAAAAAGCTGCAAGTTGAATTAGGAATGGGGACTCCACACCATATATTTCACATTCATAATTCATTGCATGAGCTGCTTTAAGTTGACAACAACAAATTCCAGAAAGGTTCAGGAATAGACGTTATTGATGATTACCGGATGATTCTCAAGTGTGTTGTTGATTATTGTCAAGTAAATTGCGTGGAGTAGCTCTGGATTGTCAACTTTTTTCAGAGTGCTCCTGTGAAAACACTAAACAACTATTTTCCCTAATTTTTAGTAGTTTTATTGAAATTTTTCCAGTTGCAATTTTATTAATTTTGTGCCTTGAAGGTTTTCTAATTATGAGATAATATTTACTTAATTAATATACTTTTGGATGTTTTTAAAATTCGTGGGTACCAAAAGGTAATTAAAAGTAAGTAAAATATTGGGCTAGATTTTTGGAAAGGCCATTTTTCTTGGAATTTGAAGGCTACGGATCACGGATTCGGCCTGAGTCTATTCTTCAACGATGATTAAGTCCGTTAAACAGGGATTTGGGCGGATTTCTTCCGGGTCCATTTTTGGCAGATTCCAAAGTGGCACCATCACAGATTTCGGGCGATTTTTTCGAAATGTCATTTTCTTTCGATTTTGGAGGGTACGGATCACGGATTCAGCCGGAGGCTATCCTCCACCGATAATGAAGTCTATTGATCCCATTCTCCACCGATGATTAAGTCCATTAAGCACCTAATTGGGGCAATTGATTTTGGGATGACATTTTCGTA